GTGTATCTTCTCAAGGTACTGCTCTGACATTCCACATTCTGTGACACCGAGATTATTATTCCACCCCTGCAATATTTATAGCAAATCTCCTTCAACATGCTTCTGTTCCTTGGTTTTCCAAACTGGATTTTAAGTTCCATCTAGGAACAGCTGTGTGGCATAGGAGAAGGACATGATGGGCTTAGAAAGCCTAGGGACAAATCCCAGCTCTGCCACTACCAGCTGTGGACCTTGCACATTGGGTGCCTCATCAGTAAAATGACAGCAGGGCCCAGCAGGGCCTGCGGTGGGGTGGGGAGGGTCTCCTGGCACTCTGACGCGTGAGTGACACGTTAGAGGGATCAAGGTCAGCTCTGGGTCGGCAGCCCCTTCTGTAGTGCCTTCTGAGCTGGCGGTGGGACCTGCGGGGCCTGTGAGGGGCCTAGCTTGGTGCAGAGATCCTGGGGCTGTCAGCTTTGCTGCCCTGCTTCCTGACTGTCCTCAAGAGGCCCAGGACCCCCTGAGGTTAGTTTCCTCCTGTCTTAAAGGTCTGGCTCTCGCAGGCCAGACTCTCACAGAACCAAAACAACAGCGTCTCACAGCCACACCTTCCAACAGCCTAGAAAGAGGAATTATCCCCCCATTGTACAGAAGTGGAGCAGCAGCTTAAAAGGTCAGGTTAACTGCCTGACATCACGGCATGGAGGGATCAGATCCCAATGAGTCTGGCCCCAAGACCACGCTCTCAAACAGCCGCAGGGGGCTGCCAGAGCCCCCCTTTAGCTCACTCCGGCCAGGGCAGCAGGCCTGGAAAGGCACCAGTCCTGGGCCAGGGAGCCCCTCCCTGCTTGGAGGACTGGAGCCAGGCCCCACCCTCCTTGGTTTCCCAGAGATCCTCCATCTGAGCACCACACCTTCCAGATGGGAGGGCTCCTCTAGACCCCGCGGCCTGGCAGGTCGCTTTGAGCCCCTCCTTCCCATCAGCTGTACCCCTGCCCCTCCTGGCAGAACCCCCAGTCAGCAGCTGGGCCCAAGTCTGCAGGAAACTGGCAGCAGCAGATAATGCCCCCCACCAGTGCCCAACCCCCCCAGGGGACAGAAGGTGGCACCACCACCTGCTCTGTCAGATGGTCCTGCAGAGAGGAGGGGCAGGTCTCACCCCAAAGCTGCCTGCCCCAGTCCCTCCTGGGCCCTCATCCTTCCGTGACTCGTCCCTTTCAAGCTTTGTTTGAGGCACCTAGCAGCCCCCTAAGGACAAACCCGTCCATTCCTTCAGGTGAGCTGCGGTAGGGGAGTACATTGTGATAAATCAAGACATCTTACAAGTTGCAAAGGAAACTGCCTGAACTTTTACAAAGGGTGAGAGCAGAGTCTGTGTGTCCGTATGGGCCTGTCAGGCTGGGAGGAATGCACACACCTGGCAAACAGTGTTCGTTAAGGACGTGGGCCTTGATGCCGCGTTGCCTGGGCTGAATCCCCCTTTGGCCCTCTCACAGCTGTGTGGCCTCAGGCAGGTTACTTGGCCTCTCCTGTCATGTTTGCAAAATGAGGGCGATGCCTCTTTCTTCAGAGGATTAAATAAATTAGTATATGCTGAACACTTGGAATAGAGGCTGCTATATAATTAGTATCCTATACATGTTAGTTATTAATGTAAGATGCTCAGAACCCACCTGTAAATAAAAATACCTTCTAGATCTCTGCAGCGTGTGAAGCACTTTCACATACACACCACATGGTCTCACCGGTGGGTTTCAGCCCCGGGCAAGTTCACTCTTGATTTGGTAACACCAAAAAATGACAATGGAATGTTCTTGGGGTGAAAAGGTTTACACCCAACTTTATTCCCATGGAGGCAGGTCAAGCGCTAGCATCCCGTCCACTCAGAGCGCGTCTGCACGCAGCAAGCCGGTCTTTGCCTCTGGGCCTCTCTACCCCGCAGCCGTCTCAGTCTCTGTCCTCGGCGCTGCCATCACTCCAGCCTCTGCTCTCCTGCAGCCTTGCAGCCCGGAGCCCTGGGCAGAGCTCTTTACATAGCGTCAGCCCACACGTGTGCAGTGGGCAAGCCGACCAGGGTCAGGCGAGAATCCTCGCCACAGGAACTTTCACTTTCTGTACACACATTATTTAATCTTCTCAGCCTCCCGCGAGGTGGATGATTCCATCTCCCCTTGGAGGGGAACCGATGGAGCTGGAGAGTATTGGCAGCTCTGTGGGCAGAGTCCAGGTGGTGTCCAGCCTGCTGCCTTTGGAGGCTGGCTCCTCCTTCCTGCTTCCCCTGGGCCTAGACAGCCAGCCAAGGAGGCTGGGACCACCCAGCCGAGCAGGCCACACCAGCCGTGAGCCAGCTAAGGGCAGGGCCCACGCGCAGCATTTTCCTGCATTTATTTATCAGGGAGCCACTAATCTGTGTTGAAAAGCACTTGGGGGATAACTGCAAACAGGTGGATTTGCTTATTCTCACGGAGCCTAGCCTCTGGCTAGGGTAACAATAAGCAAGCTGTTACAACAGTTAGGATCCTGCTGTAATGGGGGAAAGGTGTGCTATCTGGGCCAGGCTGCAGAGTTTGGGGGAGTTCAGGGAAAACTTTCTGCAGGAAACAGTAGCAAAACTGAGACTTGTAAGATGACTAGGGATCAGCCCAGTTGAAGGTTTAGGAAGTTTTCCAGTGAGAGGTGGGAGGTGAGAGCAGCTCCCACTGGCCAGGGTGGGCAGGACAGCGGGAGTGTGGGCACGGAGCTTGCGTGAGGGCCAGATCTGGGAAAGACTTGTAAGCAGAGTGGCAAGGGTTTTTGCATGACACTCTGAGGGCTTTGGGGGTGCTTCTAAGGGTTTTAAGTGAGGACATAAGATAATAGTTTTCTCCTTTTAGGAAGATTAGAGACAGATTGGAGGAAGAGAAGAGAGGAGGCTGAGGGGCCAGGTCAGAGGCTGTGGCAATAGATGAGGCATGAAATGATGACTGAACTTATCAGGAAAGTAACAATGGGCATGAAGACGGGTTTAAGAAATAGTTAGGAGGGCAAACCTATGGGGCAGGGTGTGAGGGTGGGGTAGAGTTCAGGACCACACCCAGACTTCTGGTTTGAACATGGAGTGAGTTTTCCTGAGATCGTCTCCAAGGAGCAGTAAGCTGTGGGAAAGGAAAATGAGGTCAGACCGGGACAAGAAGCGCGTTTGGTACAAGTGGGACACAGAGGCAGTCGTCTAGGAGGAGGACGCAGCGATCTGGAGGCTAGAGGGGATTGGGGCTGGCAACCTGGCCTCGGGAATCAGCAACACAGAGACGAAAGCAAGACTTGAGAGTGGCTGAGGGCGCCCAGGGAGGCTGGGCGAGAGAAAGGATCAAGGGCCCAGGGCCCTGAGGCCCCACGCCCGAGAGGCCGGCCGGCCGAGGGGGCGCTCACAGGGAAGCGGCGGGTGCGGGCACTGGGAAGGCAGGGGGAGATTCAGGAGAGCCAAGGGGTGCGGGCATGTCAGGAAGGAAGGAAGGAGAGGTGACTGTGGCCAACACTGCCTAGAAACCAAGACAAGGACTTTCGGGGGCTACTGCGCTAGCAGCAAGGTTGTAGAGATACTGGTGAGCGCGGCTTCAGGGCAGGGCGGCGGGCAGACGGCGCGGGGTCAAGGAACGGGAAGTAGGTTTAGAAACGTAGACGAGGAGATGACTGAGGTAAAGGGTTTGGTCCTCAGTCACGGACTAGACAGACAGACAGACAGACAATATAGGTGATAGATATAAACGACGGAGAGAAATGATGGATAGATAATAGTAGTAGGTAGATGATAGATAAATAGATATAGGTTGATAGATTGATCGATCGATCAATTGATCAATAGGCACATAATGATGGTGCCAGGTACAGAGGACCGCTGCAGGTCACGCTGTGAAGATGGGAACACTCTGAAGTGTTCCATGCAGATGGAGGCAGGAGGCTGAGCAGGGAGAGGAGACCAAGGTTGGGATAGTCCGAGCAGCTGGCTGGAGGGGATGCCCAGCCTCTCCTGGGCAGGAAGGAAGGAGGGGAGCAGGAGACAAAAGCAGGTGAGCTCCTCAGCTTGGTAGCAGGAGCTGAGGTGGGTCCGTGGGGCGGCCCCCATTTCTCCGTGGAGGAAACCAGGCCCCTGTTGAGGATGTTAAGTGGAGCAGGAGACAAGCTGCTGATGTTGAGGTTTGAGGAGAGAGGAGAGTTGAAATAGCTGCCCCAACCCGGCCCAGGAGGCCTGGGGGCCCAGTGGAGGCCGGGACCAGGATTTGCAGGAGCCAGCAAGCCAGCGTGAGCCCCCTGCCCTGTCTGTCTACGGAAGCCTGGGGCAGGCCTGGAGCCCCGCCGGTGTTTGCCAGGAAACTGCATGGTCACCATAGCAATGCCAGCGCTTGGCAAAGCTTAAGGAAGGAAGGGTGACCACAGGAAAGAGCACCCACGAGGTGGGAAAGGGCACCCGGGCCAGGGGTCCTAACTAGGCTTTCACTGACTGTGCGGCTCCAGGCAGCCATGTCACCTGTCTGCACCTCCACTAGGCCATCTTGAAAATGAAACTGGTCCCTACCTCCAGAGGCTGCAGTGAGGATGAAATGGCATTGCCAGTCAAAGTGCTTTGTAAATAGGAGGTTTTAGGACCCCAGCATAGGATCATGTCTGCAGCTGGCACACAGGAGGGGCTTGGCGACGGTGGCCACTGCCCTCGTGATCACCGGGTGCCGGTGAGTGGAGGGTGCAGGCCGCAGACCTCCCATATCAAAGGTGTGGGCGGAGAGCGGTGGAGGGCTCTGAGCAGGTTGGCTGTGGCGTGACCTGGGATGTGTGGCTGCAGCCCCTCCGGGGGGCTGGGCCCAGTCAGCGAAGCAGCCATGGACCTCCAGGAGATCCCACGCCCTCCACCCGGGCCCTTCCGTACTGCATGCGAATGGCAGTCCAGACGGCCCCTCCGTCACCCCCTAGGCCCCGGCCCTGGAGCCCATGGGCAGGGGAGAGTGGGTACAGAACGGGGCGGAGGAAGGAGACAAGCAGAGACAGTGTCCTAGGCCCAGAGACTTTAATGCCCAGCTGATGGAGGAGCCGAGGCCGGACTACACGGGCACTGACCAGCCTAGTGAGTGACAGACGCTCCATCTGATCATGCCCCTTGCTCTTGAGGCAACGAGCCAGGAATTTACCTCCTTCTGACTTCCTGCGGTGGTTCCTGACCACCCTACTCAGCCCATCCTTTGGCTGGGGACAGACAGGGCGCTGCGCTAAGCTGACCCTCTGCCCCAGCTGGTCTTGCTCACAGCCTGGTGGGGAGAAGGGCCTCCTGGGAGCCCTGCTTCTGGCCGAGGCTGCGCAGAGAAGACCCGAGGCTCGGACAGCCCAGGGCGCTGGCCACGCCTCCCGGGGACTCCTGTCTTCTCTGCATCTCGGTTGCTACCACCTCCACTTCCTCCGGCTCCATCCAGCAGGCATCAGCCAGGGCCTGGCCTGTTGCCATGACGAAGTCCGCATCAGTTGCCCAGGTGTCCGGGCCTCCTTGGACCAGAGCCTGCAGGGAGGTGAGAGGCTGGTGGGGTCTTCCTGGGGAGCTGCCTCGGGCCTCCTCTGTGGGACCTCTCTCTACCCCAGGCCATGCCAGGGCCGCCCTGAGGGCAGCCCAGGGCTCTGCCCCAGCCCCCACTTCACCTCCTGGATGAGCAGGGCCGTGACTGGGGTCTGGCAGCCAGAAGGGCTCTCCTGGGTCCTGCTGCGGTGGGCCATTCCCTCAGGCAGAGGCCCTGGAGTGGGGGTCCAGCTCCCAGGCAGGGGAGGCTCCGCCATGGCACGCTGTTCCAAGTGCACAAAAGCAAAGGTCCCAACAGGGAGGCTGGAGCCCACGGGGGCAGTGAAGCCCCAGCTCTCCAGGGGAGGCCTCAGCTGAGACCCGCCCTTCCAGTACAGGCAGGTCACCGCCACACCCTTCCTCTGCTGCCTTTCCGCCCAGGCTGTGCCCTTACCTGGCAGGGGGCAGGGGGGGACCCAGCTCTGGGCACTGCTCTCTGGCTCAGCTGTCCTGGCTTCTCCACCCAGGGTTGGCCGGGGGGTCCTGTGGACAGACAGGGTCGAGAGTAAGTGGGGCCATGGCTCCTGCCAGGTCCCCGGGTCAACAGATCTCTGCTTGGCCCATCAGCCACACCCTGAGAGAAGGCACCCGAAAGGGTGGATGTGTGCTGGCCCCCCCCCACTCTACTGGTCCTGGTCTGTCCCTGTGGGCTTGGGAGGGGGCTGAGGGCCAACTCTGGCCAAACTTCTTCAGTGTGTGTGCATACATGTGCATGTGTGCACCAGCACATGCATGCGTGTGTGTGTGGGTGTGTACACATGTGCATGCGTGGGTGTTGGGGAAGTCCCTCATGGCCACTGAACTCCGGCACCCTCAGGGCTTCCTCTGTCGCACACAGCGGTCTAGGACCTACTGGGAGGTTGCCAGGCTGTCTGCCAAAGGTGGCCGTGTCCAGGGGCCATCCTTTGGGGGTCGGGGGTGGGTCTCCTGGCACGCCTGCGCAGGGCCCTTCTACAGTGACCTCCACCCTCATGCAGTCGCCTCAGTCTGGATGAGAAGCTGGCCCTGACATCTCCCACTCGGGGCCCAGCTGGCTCCCACTGCAACAGGCTCCCAAGCCCCCCTCCCAGCCAGGTTCCCCAACAGCAAGCAAGGATCAGGGCTCCTGGGGAGAAGGCTCAGCTCCTCGGGGGCACAGCACACTGACCCAAGGCTGCCGTTGGTTGGCTGAAGGCTCCTCGTCCGGCGGCAGGTGCCCCTGTCGCTCCAGGGAATGCCCTTTCATGGTGGACGCTGAAATGGAAGTAAAGCTGCTGGACCCGAGCAGGCTGCCACTCCCCTGCCGCCCCTGCCCCTCTGTGGCTGCAAACATCCTGCCCCTCGGGGTCGGGACCCATCTCTGCGTGTGGCTTTGGCTCCAGGGCAGGCACTGAACCCACTCTCTGCCCAGCCAGCCCTGACTCTACAAAAGGAATGAGCCAAGTGCATTCCTGCCTCCCCTCCTTTACCAGGTATCCTTCCATCTACCCTTCCCGCATTCTGTCCATCTCTCAAGGCCCAGCTCCAGCCTCACGACCTCCAGGACACTGGTTCCCAACCATGGCTGCACATCGGACCACCTGGGCTTTAAAAACAGTAAGTGGCCGTGCCCCACCCCAAGGCTTGGGGAGGCCCAGGCACTGCCATATTGGAAGCTCCCTAGATGTTCCAAATGTGCAGCAGGGGTGGGAAACACAGTGTGTCCAGCCCATGGCATCGGTGCCCACTCTGCGAACTCAGGATACGAGCTCTCGGATTGTTTGGTCACAGCTCTATCACGGGACACAGCCCCCGGCAGGCTTGCAATCATTCAGGGCTCTGTGCTAGATTCACAGGGCCTCTGGCTGGGAGGGGGCCTGGCCACGGACAGTGGCTGTTACCTGGCTTCTAAGCTTCCTGCGCATTCCCAAGGGCGAGGGACTCAGCCTTCACAGGCCAAAGGGACGTCCAGTCACCTGGCCTCCCGTCTAAACAGAAGCCCTGCCGGAGCCCAGCCCACAGGATATAACGCTGAGATGCTCTTCCCCCAATCCTGCTGCTTTTCATGACAATTATGTCATCACAGATTATATTTAGTCTGCAGCTGAGGGTTGGTGAGATGGGAACCAGCCAGCACAGTGGGATCTCTCTGGAACCCAAATCCAACGATTGAACTGCAATTGTTCACGGTTTTCTGTAGTACGTGCGGCTGCTGAAGGCCCTCTCCTTCGAACCTCGTGTGCTCAGTAGGTCTCCGCTCCAAACCCTGCTGTGGACGTGGAATAAGATGCTCCCTCGGCCCAAGCCAGTGCTGGTGTGAGGCTGCCCCCTGCCGACCGAGGGAGTCTCTGCAGCCCAGGCCCACCTCTTGCCTTAGGTGCAGGATGGGTCCCTAAGGGCACAAGGGCCAGCAAAGGAAACCCTACACATTTAAGGGTGCCCCCTCCAAAAGATCCTGGAACCCACTAACTACATCCTCCCAGTCCTACCCCAATACCCCCACATTCAGGTGGCAGGGGCTGCTACCTGGAGAGCACCTGGCTGTTGCTATGGTTACTACCTGGAGGCAACGTTGGCATTGGCATTATTAGTATTGGCACGAGCAAGAAGGTTGGGGTTTGGAGCTCGAGGGGAGTCCTCCAGGAACACAGGTGATTCCATCTCCTCCATCTCTATCTCAGCAAACTGGAGGGGTCTCTGGTTGGCCATGACGGGGGGCAGGGAGTTGGTCCTTTCCAGGAAGCTGTCCACCTGGCCAAAGAGGCCTCCAGTCCTCTAGGGGCAAGGAGAAGAGTGAGAGAGCCGAGAGCAGTGCCTGGAGATGCGGGCTGGCCGTGCCTCAGGGCTGCCACCGGAGGACGATGGTGCTGGGAACAAGGGACGAACCCCACGAGGCCAGGGGAGGCGGATCCACACATCGTGGCGTGTCTTTGGGCACTGTTTGCCCGTGGGTAACCCAGGCAGGTTTAAGTAGGTGGTCATCAGGGACCTTGCTACTCCACGGTATCTTAAGAAACACTAGACCGAGCCAAGGACTGAGGACTGGGGTAACTGGAGGCAGGTGGGGCATTTGATACTGAAGAGCTTCTGAGAGGCACTGTTGACAAGGGTTTGTGGGGAGGGGAGGAAAGGGGTGAGACCTGGCAGAGGAAGATGGGGAACAATGTGTTGCATTGGACACCTTGAATAGTCTGGGTCGTTGATTTTGAGTCCCCAGAGATGGGGAGGGGTGTCTCCAGCTTCCACATTCCCGTCCTGCATGGCTGGGCTCCCGGCCCCACTCTGTGAGGCAGCACTGCTCCCCGCGCCTAGAACACAGGGGGTGGCCATGGTGCTCACCTACCCGAAATATCCCTTCCTCCATTGCAGCCTCCACCATGGCTCTCTCCAGCTCCTCTTCAGCTATCAGGTCCCCCGAGATGGTTCGGTGGATCTCAGGAGCAGCCTCCTCCTCAATGGTCTGTTGGCCGGGGGGTCCTGTGGACAGACAGGGTCGAGAGTAAGTGGGGCCATGGCTCCTGCCAGGTCCCCGGGTCAACAGATCTCTGCTTGGCCCATCAGCCACACCCTGAGAGAAGGCACCCGAAAGGGTGGATGTGTGCTGGCCCCCCCCCCACTCTACTGGTCCTGGTCTGTCCCTGTGGGCTTGGGAGGGGGCTGAGGGCCAACTCTGGCCAAACTTCTTCAGTGTGTGTGCATACATGTGCATGTGTGCACCAGCACATGCATGCGTGTGTGTGTGGGTGTGTACACATGTGCATGCGTGGGTGTTGGGGAAGTCCCTCATGGCCACTGAACTCCGGCACCCTCAGGGCTTCCTCTGTCGCACACAGCGGTCTAGGACCTACTGGGAGGTTGCCAGGCTGTCTGCCAAAGGTGGCCGTGTCCAGGGGCCATCCTTTGGGGGTCGGGGGTGGGTCTCCTGGCACGCCTGCGCAGGGCCCTTCTACAGTGACCTCCACCCTCATGCAGTCGCCTCAGTCTGGATGAGAAGCTGGCCCTGACATCTCCCACTCGGGGCCCAGCTGGCTCCCACTGCAACAGGCTCCCAAGCCCCCCTCCCAGCCAGGTTCCCCAACAGCAAGCAAGGATCAGGGCTCCTGGGGAGAAGGCTCAGCTCCTCGGGGGCACAGCACACTGACCCAAGGCTGCCGTTGGTTGGCTGAAGGCTCCTCGTCCGGCGGCAGGTGCCCCTGTCGCTCCAGGGAATGCCCTTTCATGGTGGACGCTGAAATGGAAGTAAAGCTGCTGGACCCGAGCAGGCTGCCACTCCCCTGCCGCCCCTGCCCCTCTGTGGCTGCAAACATCCTGCCCCTCGGGGTCGGGACCCATCTCTGCGTGTGGCTTTGGCTCCAGGGCAGGCACTGAACCCACTCTCTGCCCAGCCAGCCCTGACTCTACAAAAGGAATGAGCCAAGTGCATTCCTGCCTCCCCTCCTTTACCAGGTATCCTTCCATCTACCCTTCCCGCATTCTGTCCATCTCTCAAGGCCCAGCTCCAGCCTCACGACCTCCAGGACACTGGTTCCCAACCATGGCTGCACATCGGACCACCTGGGCTTTAAAAACAGTAAGTGGCCGTGCCCCACCCCAAGGCTTGGGGAGGCCCAGGCACTGCCATATTGGAAGCTCCCTAGATGTTCCAAATGTGCAGCAGGGGTGGGAAACACAGTGTGTCCAGCCCATGGCATCGGTGCCCACTCTGCGAACTCAGGATACGAGCTCTCGGATTGTTTGGTCACAGCTCTATCACGGGACACAGCCCCCGGCAGGCTTGCAATCATTCAGGGCTCTGTGCTAGATTCACAGGGCCTCTGGCTGGGAGGGGGCCTGGCCACGGACAGTGGCTGTTACCTGGCTTCTAAGCTTCCTGCGCATTCCCAAGGGCGAGGGACTCAGCCTTCACAGGCCAAAGGGACGTCCAGTCACCTGGCCTCCCGTCTAAACAGAAGCCCTGCCGGAGCCCAGCCCACAGGATATAACGCTGAGATGCTCTTCCCCCAATCCTGCTGCTTTTCATGACAATTATGTCATCACAGATTATATTTAGTCTGCAGCTGAGGGTTGGTGAGATGGGAACCAGCCAGCACAGTGGGATCTCTCTGGAACCCAAATCCAACGATTGAACTGCAATTGTTCACGGTTTTCTGTAGTACGTGCGGCTGCTGAAGGCCCTCTCCTTCGAACCTCGTGTGCTCAGTAGGTCTCCGCTCCAAACCCTGCTGTGGACGTGGAATAAGATGCTCCCTCGGCCCAAGCCAGTGCTGGTGTGAGGCTGCCCCCTGCCGACCGAGGGAGTCTCTGCAGCCCAGGCCCACCTCTTGCCTTAGGTGCAGGATGGGTCCCTAAGGGCACAAGGGCCAGCAAAGGAAACCCTACACATTTAAGGGTGCCCCCTCCAAAAGATCCTGGAACCCACTAACTACATCCTCCCAGTCCTACCCCAATACCCCCACATTCAGGTGGCAGGGGCTGCTACCTGGAGAGCACCTGGCTGTTGCTATGGTTACTACCTGGAGGCAACGTTGGCATTGGCATTATTAGTATTGGCACGAGCAAGAAGGTTGGGGTTTGGAGCTCGAGGGGAGTCCTCCAGGAACACAGGTGATTCCATCTCCTCCATCTCTATCTCAGCAAACTGGAGGGGTCTCTGGTTGGCCATGACGGGGGGCAGGGAGTTGGTCCTTTCCAGGAAGCTGTCCACCTGGCCAAAGAGGCCTCCAGTCCTCTAGGGGCAAGGAGAAGAGTGAGAGAGCCGAGAGCAGTGCCTGGAGATGCGGGCTGGCCGTGCCTCAGGGCTGCCACCGGAGGACGATGGTGCTGGGAACAAGGGACGAACCCCACGAGGCCAGGGGAGGCGGATCCACACATCGTGGCGTGTCTTTGGGCACTGTTTGCCCGTGGGTAACCCAGGCAGGTTTAAGTAGGTGGTCATCAGGGACCTTGCTACTCCACGGTATCTTAAGAAACACTAGACCGAGCCAAGGACTGAGGACTGGGGTAACTGGAGGCAGGTGGGGCATTTGATACTGAAGAGCTTCTGAGAGGCACTGTTGACAAGGGTTTGTGGGGAGGGGAGGAAAGGGGTGAGACCTGGCAGAGGAAGATGGGGAACAATGTGTTGCATTGGACACCTTGAATAGTCTGGGTCGTTGATTTTGAGTCCCCAGAGATGGGGAGGGGTGTCTCCAGCTTCCACATTCCCGTCCTGCATGGCTGGGCTCCCGGCCCCACTCTGTGAGGCAGCACTGCTCCCCGTGCCTAGAACACAGGGGGTGGCCATGGTGCTCACCTACCCGAAATATCCCTTCCTCCATTGCAGCCTCCACCATGGCTCTCTCCAGCTCCTCTTCAGCTATCAGGTCCCCCGAGATGGTTCGGTGGATCTCAGGAGCAGCCTCCTCCTCAATGGTCCGCAGTCCAGCCTAGAGATAGAGGCTCGGTGACCCCTCCAGTCCAGAAGGGGATACCAGGCTGCTGCCCATGGCCTCACTCATTTCTAATCCTTTCTCTGGGACCCCGGCTCATTCAGTGTCCCAGGCCTTGGTGAGACCACCAGGTCCTGCTCTGGCCTCTGGGACAGTCCAAAACCTAATGGTCTCCAAGGAGTCTTCTCTCAACTTCCTAGGTTACTTCATACCCTCCCAGGCCTCCAAGTTGAGAAGTCTTTTAACTCAATACAGTCTGCTCAATGATCTCTTTTGATTGCACATGCCATTAACATAATTTTTTGAGCTGATCAAAATTTGTATCACCAGCAATGGGACAAATCAAGACTGGTGTCGCCTGATAGTTTGCGTCATTGATTCTGTGACATTCCTGTCCAAGACGTGTATCCTGAATCTATCATGAGGAGACATCACATGAACGCAAACCCAAACTAAGGGATATCCTGGCTTGTAATCTTCAAAAATGTCAAGGTCATGTCAAGGAGAGACTGAGGAACTGTTCCAGATGGAATAGGCTAAAGAGAAAAGACAACTGAATGCAGTATGTGATCCAGGTCTGGATCCTTCTGCTACAAAGAACATTAGTGGGACCACTGGTGAAGCTTGTATGGGGCCTGAGGAATGGATGACAGTGATTACCAATGTTAATTTCCTGATTTGGGGGGTTGCATTGTTATGTGGGGGACGTGCTCCTACATGCCCTTGCTCACAGGAACTACATACTAAGGTGTTCTGAGTTGATGGAACATCATGCTGGGAATTACTCTCAAGTGGATCAGAAGAGAAAGGTTTTTGCATTATACATGCAACTTTTAAAATTGTGAGGTTGTTTAAAAATAAGAATTGCAACTGAAATAAATTTTTGAGCGCACAGCCCAAATGCCTGTATGTTTTTTGATATTATGAATTCTGTGCCTTGTAACTAATACCAGAAAAACAGATGAGTAAAAACCAAGTTCTAGATTTCTTTGCATGCCCAGTGGATGACTGTCGGGGCCCCCGGGGGCTCTGCCTTCTTTGGAGAGCACTGCTCATATCGAACTCAGATTTCTCCTTTGCACAAATCCCGTTTCCTTTAGTCCCCTCATGCGGAGACGGAGGAGCTCTTGGCCCCTCTCTTGAGGTTGAAATGCCTTCTGTTGTGGGTCATCCGGAACTGTCATTCCACGGCCTCACTGGTCCTGGCTCCCTCCTTCCCTGTGCGTTTTGCCACTGGGCCTCCAGGGTATGGAGAGGGAGCTGGAGTCTGGGCACTTTGGCGCTCGGGCTGGGCTTACCTGGATCTGCACCGTGTCCTTCTTGGGCCGATACCCATAATACTCCTCCTGGCGCTTCATGAACTTCCGGAAGTGCTCCTGGATGAGAAACGTGGCGTAGAACTTGCCTACAGTCACTTCGTCATCTGCAGAGGAGCCAACAAGGGACCTGAAGGCCAGCAGGACTCTGACCCTGGGCTCGGAGAGGGGCCAGGCGTAGACAGGACTGGGCTCTGCAGGCCGCCCCCCCTCTTGCCGATGTGGTCAGCACCCACCCTGTGGCTGGTGCCCACCCTGATGGCCACCGTGGGGCTTGTTCAACGTATTTAACGGAGGTCGGGGCCGCTCTCAGATTCCCACAGGGCTTCCTGGACAAGTCCCGTGTGCCTGCCCCTCAGCTGCCTCTGGACCCTCATCTCCCAAGCTGCGCCCACCTCCTATCGGAGGGATGACCTGGTCCAGGAGCTTCATGCTGGTTCTCTTCCAGATTTTCTTGATGATGGCCCTCAGCTCCTCATTGGCCTGCTCAAAGTTACCTGGGGGCGAGGGACAGGCAGGGGCGGCCCTCGGGTCATCCAGGCCAAGCCGAGTGCACATGGCAAAGCACCCTGGACTCTCAGAACCTCTCAGGCAGCACACGGCAGCCGCCATGCCGGGCACGGCGATGGAGGAGGATGTCGCTGTGCCCCGGGGGCAGCCCACCCCTCGGGCCAGGGGCTCCCTCTCCTTAGGCCTTGGCTCCCAGTGTCCAGAGCAGGTGGCTTTGAAGGCTGTCCTCCCCTGCTCTTCCCCTGCCCCCCACAGAAGCCTTCGAATCCCCCATGCCCATGGTCTGTCCCGAGGGCCCCAGGCAGCCTCCCTGTGGCTCTGACTGGGCGCCTGCCTGACTCTTGGCCTTCCTCTCCTTTCCCTCCGCAGGAAACCTTCTGTGGGGTGTCTCTGGTGCCTGCAATGGTCCCAACAGCCCATGGGGACAGCCCTGATACAGCTGAGCCCCGAGTGACCTGCCCTGCCTCCCGCCCACTGCGCAGCCGGGGACCTGCAGGTTTAAGGAGCCGAGTGGAGTCCATCAGCCTGCCCAGTGCTACCTGAGTACCTCCTCTGCTCCTGCCCCGGGCCCAGCCTCGGGGCAGCCCACCCAGTGCAAGCGCTGCCCTGCCTCTGGCCCCATTCAGACACAGCTGGGTGGGCACAGATCCTGAGTGCCCTGTGCCCTGTGAGCCCTGACGGGTGTGAGGGTTCTGTGGTCACGGCCTGGGGGGCTCTCACTGCTTCTCTCCATGACTCTCATTTCCAACCTTCAGCTCTGAGACCCGGCAGAGTCTGTGCCAGAAAACAGCCTCTGCGAGAAGGGAGGCGCTGCACGCGGTGGGGGCCTCACCTTCCGTCTTGATCTTGAGTGCCGTGCGTACCAGGGCGAAGAGAGTGGCATTGAAGGTGACCGTGCCATCACTGTTCAGGGGCATGTTCATGCCCACCAGCCGCTGTGGGGGTGGGGGAGGCAGGCCCGCTGCAGGGCTGGGACCGGGCCAGGTTGGCAGGCTGCCCCCCTGGTCTGCGCTCCGGGAGGGGTGGGGCATGACGGCTGGGGCGCAGGCTGACCAGAATGCCCCTCATGAGGGGCTGGGAAGATGGGTTGGGGGGCACTGCAGAGACATCAGGTCCTCAGAGGGGCACTTGGGGACCCTGGGGATGACTGCTCCTGAAAGAGCCATGCGGTCGGACCTCACCGGCTTCCCCAGCACCTGGGCATCTTCCTGTCCCAGAGCGGCACCCCTTCCCGGCAGTGCGGGTTACCTTACAGGCTACCCGGTGTGGGCAGAACTTCCCGAAGCCCAGCGGGGGCTGGATCCTTCTCAGCAGGGTCACCACGTCTAGGTGTTTGATTCTGCCCCTGCAGGGGCATGCACACACTTGTCTGCCTGGGAGCCCACCCAGCTCAGAGAACTGGCCAGGGAGAGGGGACAGGAGCCTGGGGACGGTGCCTCATTTCCAACCATGCTAGGAAGGGGAAGCCAAGCTCCCTTTTCCAAGAAGAAACAGTGGTTGGATTCCCTGTTGCCCACCATCAGAAATGGGCTCTCTTTTTTTTGGGCAGATGGAGGCCAGAATTCCCTCAGATATGGAATCTTCAGGCCTGGAATCTGGGTCTCATTTCCCCAAGATTTCTTTGGGTTTTGGTCAAGCTGACGGGGGCCTCTTGTGCTGTGTTAGTGGAGGTAGAGGGTTTGGATCAAGGACAATAGAGGCCCCTACTCCCAGAGGCCGGTGGAGGGCTGGCTGGACAGCTGTGCCGTAGCTGGTTGGAAGGACTCCGTGAGATAATGCACGCTGTGGCTAATGGCACCGGACACCTGGGAACCCTCACCCACTGGGAGTTACCACCTATTTAGGAAGCATGTAAAGACAGCAGGGCTGCCTGGCTGTTAACACGCACGCAGATGCCCCAGGGTGCGGGATGATGCTGATCAGTCAGACCAGGGTGGGGCCAGGGCTCTGCATTTTTATCAAGCTCAGGTGCTTGATAAAGTCCGCTATCAATCTGGTCAGTGGACGGGATTCCGAGTAGCCAGGGCCCGGAGGCCCTGAGGAGGTCTGAGTTTCCTGTTCCTAGACAAGTCCAAGCAGAAGCTGGCTGACCACTAAAGTCAAAGGGGTTTATGGATGTGGGACCCCTTCCAACCTGAGGAACTCCAGTTCTCTGATTTGGGACCTCAGACAAGGGAGAGGAAGCCTGCCCATTTTTAGTACACTGGAGGGCTAGGGTCCGGGTGGAGTGGGAGAAGGCGGCGGGGGCCCGGCACAGAGTGTGCGGACGGGACTCACTTAGCCTCTGGGTCATACTCTGCCCAGATGGCCTTGAACTCGTCCAGGTGATGAGGGCCGAGGATGGACCAGTCCCGAGTGAGGTAGTCAAAGTTGTCCATGATGACGGCCACAAAGAGGTTGATGATCTGCGAGAGCGGGCAGAGGGCTCCCAACGGACACAGGCGGCCCGCGCAGGAATGGGGTGGGGGGCGGGGACATTCCCCTGGGCGCGGCGCCCGTTGCCTCTCCCTACTCAGGCCCTTCATTGCGGCCCCTCTGCATGGCCTGCCCCCACACAAGCCACCCGTGTCACGCCTGTGTGCTCTTGCACAGGCAGTGTCCTTGCTGGGGGCTGGGTACTCAACCTTTAAAACCCAGATTGAGCTCCTCCAACCTCAGCCTCTTCCCCTCACCCCAGAGAGATGATCTCCCCTCCTTTGTGCCCCCCCGGACCATGCCCCTGTTACGGCTCTTGCCTTTTCTCTCTGTATTGGGTGTCCCTTTGAACTGCAAGGTTTGCTCACACATGGACCCCCTGGTACCCAGTGAGCTCCCTCAGGGCTGAATCTTATTTATGTTTCTATCCCCTGCACTGAACCCAGGGCCTGGCACACATCAGATGCTCCAACAGCAGTTTTAAGAGAATATAGGAAATAAACATGAGCTAAGAAGCCAGAGCCCAGGGGATCCTGCTGGCCCTTTGACTTCCACATGGACAGCCAGCAGCCCTGGCATCTCAGAACATCCTGGCACTCTGTTTCTAACCCCACTGGGGGACAACCTTCTCTTCCAAGGAACAGGGAGGGGCAAATGGCTTTATTGGAAGCTCCTACCTATTTAGGACAGAATCTCATTAATTCTTTTGATTAATTACCAACCAAAACCAGAGCAGAAAGGTGACACCTTTCAGCATCCCCTCTGGAGCAGGAAAAAGCACTCGGAAAGCCGAGCCACAAGCAGCACAACCGAAATAAGGGAAAATCTAGCCAGAGCCTCCTACCCCCTGCACCCCCCAAGATCGCTTCCTGCTGAGACAGGAGCTGGTGGCAGGACAGGACAGGTGTCCTCCTGGCTGCCCACGTCAAAGCCCCCTCCCTGGCCCCGTGCCCCGCGGGCCCCTCACCAGGAAGGCACAGAGCATGTAGAAGCTGATGAAGTAGTAATAGGCGAAGTTGGTGCCGCACGTATGCTCCTCGCCTGGGGCGTAATCGGACTCAGGGTCGCACAGCTTGCCGTAGCTGCAGGCCAGCAGGATCTCCTGCCACGCCTCACCTGTTGCACACCTGGAAGAGAGGGGTTCCTGTCAGCTCATCTGCTCTTGGGTGGCCCCTCCTGAGTCCAGGAGCCCGGTGGGGGCAGGGCGTGGGCAGTGAGCAGACTGGGGCTACTTCCTCTGAGCTCCAGGTTCACCCGTACAGCCGTACAGCCGGGTGTGGGCTGGGCCTCAGCTTCCCTCTGCGCGGCAGTCCCCTGCTCTACCCCTCGGGGGCACTACAAGCAGGAGCTAAAGAAAAGGGGTTTCCTGGACGGAGGAGCAAAACCAATCTATGATCCAGGTCACTGGGGGAGCAGCTGGAGAGAGCTCTGTGCTACCCAAAGCAAGGTGGGCCAGAGGTCACCCAGGCCTCGCCACTCCCTTCTTGAAAGGACACTTGACCTCTGTCTCCTGCTCAGCGGGATGAGATTGGGGAACAGGCGGCCCCACTCAGGACTGGCTATGTCATTTTTGGGTCCCGTGCAAAACAATGATGCAGGGCCACTGGCTCAGAAGTGACTTGGAAAGAGGCATTGGTTGAAGAGCAGTTAGCATAGCTGCCATCCAAAAGTGAGTGAGCATTTCAAGACAGGGACAGAGCCTTAGCCCTTCTGAGCTCAGGGCCCGGCTCCTCCTGCAGGGCCTCCAGAGCAGATTGGAGCCCAGCGAGGGCCCGGACGGGGGCATCGGGGTCTCTTGCCTGAAGAGAAGCAGCACAGCTTGCGGGAAGGTCTGGAAGTTGTTGTTTCGGTTTATTTGGGTCCCATCCACCAAGGCGATCTTTCCAAACATCTGCAAATCACAAAGGGCTCTGACTTTGGGATCTAGATAAACACCTCCCCTCAGGTCATTGCCTACTGGCCCCTCCCACCTGACCTGCTCCCCTGTCAACCCCCACCCCCTCCAAATCCCCTTCACTTCAGATCGCAGGAGACCAGAGGCCAAGTCAGTTGGATGACTTTCTCCAGGTTGGCTGAAATTCTTCCCATCCAGCCAAAGGAAAGCAGGAGGGCAGAGCGATCTTCCTAACAGCCAGAGGACCTGGGGACTCACTGCAGGCGATGAGTGGGGCGGGGGGGTGGGCTCTCAGGGGAGGGCAGACTGAGACCACCCGGGTTTCTAACCGGCCTTAGAGATGCAGTCCACCTGCATGCAGGGCCCCTCCTGGAGGGCTCCCACCTGACTAACAGGGCAGCTGTCTGGGAGAAGGTGAACGACCTCCTCTTTCAGTCTTGGAACTGACCCACTGGGCTGCCAGGATGAGGGCGGCACGGAGGGTGGAGGGGGCAGGCTGCGTGCTGATTTGGTTTCTCCACCATCCACTGATGTCCCCTCTAACCTGGCCAAGATCCCTCCTCAGCCTGGGCCCACCCGCCTCTCACCTGCATGCCGATGACCGCGTAGATGAAGAACAGCATGACGATGAGCAGAGCCACATAAGGCAGAGCCTGGCGGGGAGCAGGGGGTCGGTTCGCAGGGCCTCACCTGCCTGCTTTGCAGCTCTGCCCTCCCTTAGTTCTTTGGGGACCCCAGGCTCCACACGGGGCCGGGTGGATGCCCCCAGCAGTCTCTCCCGGCAAGCACAGTGCCTGGGGTCCCTGCGCAGACCTGGCCGGGCCCCCGGGCAGCGGGCTGGGTGCACACACCTGGAAGGACTTGATGAATGTCCACAGCAGGGTGCGCACACCCTCTGCCCGGCTCAGCAGCTTGATCAGCCTCATGACCCGGAACAGGCGGAAGAAGGCGCTGGAGATGCGGGCGCTCTCGTCTGGGTCCTGCGGGGCGGCAGCCCCAGAGGTCAGTCTGGGTGGCACCTCAGAGAGGCAAGGGGCAGGCAGGGTGGCAGGGCAGTGTGTGTGCGCCGGGCAGATGTCCACGGCGGGGAGAGGCCCCACATCACGGCCCACGTCACGACCCCTGCTGGGCACCAGCGCCGCGCCCTCCTCCGGCTCAGGCTCTGGGCTTGCTCAGCTGGGAGGAGCGCCAAGCCGTGCTGAGACAAGCCATCCTCGGGGGGGTGGCAAGGGGGGTTTTGTTTCTGGGTGAGGCTGCCGCCAGGCCCACCTCCTGCCCTGTCAGGGCCTCCTGCCTCATCTCGCCTTCTCCTCAAGCTGCCGCTGAGCCGAGGACCAGGCAGCTCTCCTGGGCCTCCCCTGAGTGTCCTCCCAGCGCAAAGTTTCCCTGAAGCTCGGCTGCTCGGGTGCCATCACCTGAGCATGGCACTCCCCACCCCACCTGTACATGGCCGTCCTAGGCTGGTAAGCCGCTGCCCTGTGCCAGCCTTAGACACCCTCATAACTCTGGAAGGGGAGAGCCCCCTGCCTGGCTTCCTGTGGCCCCAAAGGCCTTGTGCCAAGGAACTGCCACTAAGGTTCTGTGCCAGCCAGCGCTCACAGGCCTCTCTGGATGCTTCCACCTGCACAGAGGTGCCAGAGAGACCGCTCACCCCACGTCCTGGGGCTCTGGGAAAGCCACTCCGTCTAGTCCATGCACACCCTACCACAGAGCCCCCGCCTCCGCCCTGCTCCTCAGGGGGCCTGCTCTAGGGAGGAAGCCCTGAGCGCTGGGCCCTCCCCATGCAGTGCACGCGGCCAGGCCTGCGCATGCGGGCTGCAGGGCAGAGGGCTGGCGGGCGTGCTGGGCAGGCTCATGCAGCCCGGAATTACAACGTTCCCGCAGCCTCCACCCAGGCAATACAGTCCCCCGCTGGAGGCCAGGAAAGTCTGTGGAGAGAAGAGATGAGGGGAGGAGAGGGAGGGGGGACACGGTGGGAGGGGGGTGAGGACAGGTGTCAGAAAGGACAGACACACAGAAGAGTTAAAGAGAGAAAAAGACAGCAGGGGGCCAAGACCCCAGGGGCTGCTGATCAGGGGTTGGGGGGGTGGTGAGGACCGAGCTGTGGGAACAGGGAGGCGACAGGCCGGGGACAAGGGAGCAGGAGGAGGCGGGAAGGCCGGCCCACACCTCCTGTCTCGTCTCCGAGATGCACCTACGGCTGGCAGGGGCGCAGGTTCTTCCTGTGTGTCTGCGTTGGGTGACACTGGGGACCTCCCTGAGGGAGGCACCCGGACCAGTACTTGCTCATCACTATGAGGGGCTTCACAGCCCCTCTCCCTGCACCCGGGGATGCTGGCCAGCTCTCCTGTGCCACGGAGGCCCCATCCTCGGGGTCAAAGGGGCTTCCCTGCCCCTCCCCGCCCCCCACCTGGGGCGGTACCAAGGCTTCCCTCTCCCGGCCAGGGTCTTAGAGCGCAGGTGTCCGGTGCGTGGGAGCAGAATGTTCTCCTGGTCAATCTGAGCCTCTCTCTTAGGCCACATTTCAGAAGAAGCCCTTATCTGGAGCCCTGGTGCGGGTGAAGTCACCACCTTATCTGACACTTATTGGTGGGTAGGCCGGCTCCCAGAGCACTGGCCTCCCGACCGGCAACATCCTTTCCTCCAGACCCCTGGTTCTCAACCTGGCTGCACATCAGAGCTACATGGAGAACCTGAAAATGTATATACATATATACCTTTGTTGGGTCCCCAGCCAGGCCAATTAAGTCAGCTTCTAGGGGATGCGCTGGCTTCAGAGGTCTAAATGCACCTCAAGTAATTCTAATACACAGACAGGATTAACAACCAGTGTTCTAGGCTGTGTGGCCAGCGTGGCGGCCCCTGGGCTCTGTGGCGTTGGAATTACAGGGAAAACTGAACAAAATCAGAAACGCATTTCCTCCATGGCACCAGCCACCTTTCAAGTGCCCGACAGACACGTGGCTAGTCTAGTACTGAATACAACAGGGCATTTCTGTCACAGTGACTGAGGGACAGCATCTGAGCCTCCGCAAGTAAGGAAACAATTTTGATGTATCCAGGTCTCCCCGTGCACTGAACTCAAACTTCAAGAAGCAGCTATGTTTAGTTGGGCTGCTTATTTTGCCTGTTCAGAGTTCTCTCTTCTGACTGTGCTGGTGAGGCCTGTCGCTTTCAAACCATGTGGCCTTTGGGGTGCTCTTTCCCAGCAGAAACCGAGCACGCATGGACATATACAACACACACGCACACACGCACACGCACACACACATACACACATGCACACGCACGCACACAGTGGTTTCACCTGGAACCCACCCACGCCTCTCGCCAGCCCACCCCTCGGTCCGAGCAGACGGAGTTCTATCGCTGTCTGACCTGTACCGGGGGCTGAGCATGACTCCCAGGCAGGCATGCCCTCCCCTAGGAGGCTGAGTCCCCAGAAGTGCCACTCCCTTCCTAGGCACAGCCTTCCGGAAGGCTCCTTCCTCGCTGGCTCCATGCTTCTGCTCGGCTGCTCGCCCTCCCTCACCCCTCTTGGGCTCCTCTATCCTCTCCCTTGCCTGTCCGCCCACCATAAAGTTCGTGCCTGGGCTGGGTGCCTGTTGTTAGGCAGTGGGAAGTTTAGAAGGAAGCCCTCCATGTGATGAGCCCCCTGGCTTGGGGAACAGTTCCCTGCTGGGTCCCCACGGCTAGAACAGCCACCCCTTGAGTAGAATCCACCACGCCCATGGGTAGGTAGACTCAGGGCATCTGCTCTCCCCGCCTGTCCCAGAATGCAGCACAGCAGGCACAGTGCCCAGAGCAGCACCGTCGCTGGATTCCAGCCTCTGACTCTTGGAGCTCCTCTTCCCTGCCTCCTGCCCCCTCCTTCACTTCACCCTGCAGCGACCCTCAGCCTTAGAACATCAGAGCCGCCCCTAGAGGCAACCGTGGGCCTCCTCCCTGCCTGCCCGCTGCTGCTTCTCCTCCATCCCAGGCCTCACCCCCTCCACCCCATGTCTCTGGGTCCAGCTCCTGGGGCCAACTGCCTCACCACTCAGCCTGGGCCGCAGGGCCTGCCGTGTCAGCAAGGCCTCGCCTACACTGAGATGCCCCCCAAAGGGCTCGCCCTCCAGACCGCGCCAGCTCTGGGGTCTGACTCCTCTCCCCAGGCTGCAGGGCTGCCAAGCATGAGCCCAGAGTGGATTGGAGCTGCCAGGCCCACCCCACACTCAGACCGCTGCCTCATGGCCATGTCGGCCCCATCACGCCCACCCCCTCTCCTTCTAGTCCAGGACTCTGCCTCCAGGCCACCCAGGAAGAGTGCGCCTATTTGCCCCTCCCACACCCCTGCATTTCTGCCGCCTCCAGCAACTGCCGTCTACCAAACTTCCCCCAGAAGCTGTTCCCTGTGCCCACTGCTGTGCCTTCACACCCGCTAGTCACAGCCCCATCCCTTGTGACCGGCTCCCGCCCCACATCTGCTAGCCATCCAGCTGCTCACTGATGGCCGCCTAACAGCAAGCCCTGAGGCCTTGAGGCTTGGGCTCCTCTGCTGTCGCTCATCCCACTTGAGGCTTCGGCCATCATCTCCATTCATCAGAGACTGGGCCATGTTCCAGGGCGGCCACCTCATGCAAGACGCAGAATGACCCTCCATTACCCGCCAGCACTTGCAATGACTTGCTACCCATCTCTACTCGTACACCTGGCACCGAACCCCCACACCAGAACAGAATGATGGGGGACGTGCCTCCCCAGACCTTCCCTCCTGGAGATGCCGAGTCACCCTGGACCCCTTCCTTCCCATGGCCCTGGCGGCACTCCGCACGCTGCTGGCCCCTCTCCAGCTCCGAGCTGTTCTGTTCCGCGCCCACAGCCTGCGCTCCAGCTCCCATTGCTTCAGGCCCATTTGCTTCACCTCTGCTGAGTTCACGGATAAACTGCTGTGTTCTGAGACCCACGCCCTCCCTGGGGTCACTGGGTCTTGAGCCCTTTCCTTATCCGAGGACGTGGCTCCTGTAACCACCCCCTCATCCCACACTGACTGCAGGAACCCGAGGATATGCTCTCACGTCCCCATTCTGGCTCCACATTCCCCTCCAGCTTCTATCCCACTTCTCTTTATAGCAAAACGCCTCAAGAGAAATGTCCATGCTCACATTCTTCACTTCCTCCCCTCAGTCCGCTCCCACCAGGCATCCTCCCCCGTAATCCCCACTGAACTGCTCTCGCCAGGGCCGCTGTTGGCCTCCCCGCTGCCAGAAGCAAGTCAATGCTAGGCTCTCCTCCTCCTCGACTTCCAGCGCAGTTGCCGCCGGTCGCTCTGCCTTCCTGATGGGCACGGCTCTCCGTTTTGGAGCCCCGCTGCCCCTTGCTCGCCCCGCCCCGCCTCATCACCCACTCCTTCCCGGCCCTGTTTGCTGACTCCCCCCCTCTCTCTCTGACCACGAAGCCCAGGAGCGCTCCAGGGCTCAGTCTCTGTGCCTTTTCTCTCAACAATACCTCTTTTCAGGTGATCTCGTCCATCCCCACGACTCCAAATGCCACCTTTATTTCCAGAGGCTCAGAGTTACACCTCTACCCTGACCTAGCCTCTGAGCTGCACACTCATAAATCCAAGCCTGTAGGGCGTGTCCATTTGCAAGCCTCATAAGCATCCTAAATTATCATGCCCACAGCAAAAATACTGACTTCCGCCCCCCACCTGCTATTCCACCAGTTTCCACATCTCAGTAAATGGGATCTTAATGGCTTGGGCAAAAATCCCTGTGATCAACCTTGATTTGTTCTTTCTCTCACTCGAAGTGAAGGCCATTGACAAATATTGTCAGCTCAGCCTCCTGGGTGGCTCCAGACGCAGTCCACTTCTCCCCACTCCATGGCTAGCACCCAGCCATCATCTCTCCTCTGGGTTATGGCCAGCAGCCTCCTGAATGCTCTCCGAGTCAGCGTGTGTCCCCTACAGTCTAACCTCAACACAGCAGCCAGAGTGACCCTTTTAGAACTAAAGCCAGACCAGGTTTAAACCCTCCAAAGGGCCCTCATCTCTCAGAATAAAAGCCAAGATTATAACCATGGCCTTCAAGTGATGTGGCCCCTGACTTCTCTCTCTGGCCTCATCTCCCCCATTCTCCACTCCAGCTGCAAGGGCCTCCGGCTCAGGGCCTTTGCATACACTCTTTGCTCTCTGTACAACCCTCTGTCCCCAGCACCTGCACAGCTCACTCCCTTACCACACTCAGGTTCTCCTCAAATATCATCTTGACACTAATCTCTCATTTCCTTCCACTCTCAGCCTTTTACCTGCTTCATTTTGCTCCATGGCACATGTGGGGCAAACGGGCCATGTCCTAGTTAGTGTCTGTCTCCCCTGGGCTCCTGTTCGTGCTGTAACTCTGGCACACCTGGGAGGCCCTTGCTAAGTATTTGAAGAGTGAATGATGACTGACTCCCGGACTGGGCCCCTTATTTTTGTCATTTTTACTTTCTGCTCCTCCCCTACAGATCATCTAGAAGCAAAGCTCTGATGCTCCGCCTGCCCCGGTGAAAACCTTCAGTGATGTCTTGCCGCCTGCTGCGCGAAGTTCAAGGCCCCTCCTCCCCACGGCTTACTCTCTAGCTGCAAGTCCCCCTCTGTCCTCTGCATGCTCACTCTCAGCATCACCCGACCGTCCTTTTCATTCTTTCCTGCCCTGTGCCTCTCCTACAGCAGCCCCGGCTTCTTGCTCTTCTCTCCACCTCCAACCATCAGCTCCCTTTGCTTCAGGGCCCACTTGAGGTTGCACCACCTCCATGAAGCCTTCCCAGACCACTGTACCCAGAGACGATATCTCCTCTTCACTACAGCTCTTGTCTGGGACAGCGGGGCACCCTCGTTATGTCCGCCTGGAATCTGAGTTATCTGTCTGTTCTGCAGGATTGCGGCTACTGTCATTTCTACCTCTGTAACCCTTGGGATACCATGCTGAACCCTCAGTGAACGTGCAAAAAACATCTGCAGCCTGCATGAATGCTTCAGCCCCACCCCAGCGAGGGTTCCACGCGCCTGATACTCACGTCGATCTCGCTGAGGATGACGTCGATGATGCTGCCGATGACAATCAAGAAGTCAAACACATTCCAGGGGTCTCCAAAATACCCCTGGCAGGAAAGAGATGGGAGAACCAGGGCATGAGCCTCGGGAGGAAGGAACCCCGGAGGCCAGCCCAGGGCGGTGGCCCCCATGCAGAACCGATGGGCCACGCCGGGGTGGGGGGGCATGTGGCTCCCCTTTTCCCCAGAGCTCCAGCATGCCCACCTGCTCCCGCCCCCCTCTCCCTTTAGCTCTTTATTTCTCCAGAGCATCTGGTGATGGAAGGGGAGTGAGAGAGTGGTTGGGTAGTCGGGATTTGGGGTCTTAGTCCAGATGGGGAGCTTTCATCTCCCCACCCCTGAAGTCCTCTCTGGGGCTTGATAATGCAGACCTGAGCATCCTGGCCGGGCTGAGTATGTGGGAGTGGACCTGAGAACCGAGAACACAGCCAGACACAGGCATGCCTCAGAGATACGTGTGCATTTGGTTCCAGACCGCTGCAGCGAAGCATGTATTGCAACAAAGCCAATATGGCAATAAAGTGGGTCAAATGAATTTCTTGGTTTCCCCGGGCATATAAAGTCATGTTTATGCTGTGCTGTAGCCTATCAGGTGTGCAGTAGCATTATGTGTAAACAAACAATGTACACACCTTAATTAGAAATAGTTAGTTGCTAAAAAATGGAAACCATCATCCCAGCTTTCAGTGAGTCATAACCACTGGTCACAGATCACCATAACAAATACAATAGCAATAAAAAAGTTTGAGATATTGCAAGAATTACCCAAATGTGACACAGAGACATAAAGTGAACAAATGCCATTAGAAAAATGGCAGACTTGCTCGATGTAGGGTTGCCACAAACCTTCAATTTGTCAAAAACACAGGATCTGCAAAGTGTGACAGAGTGAAGCAAGATAAAATGAAGTGTGCCTGCTTCCCCAGTTCGGGCCTATTAAGCTTAGGGGAAGGCGGGGAATATAAGATGGGCTCAAAGAACGGGGCAGAAAAGAGGCCATCAAGATCTATACGGCTGTCAGCCTGGAAATCCTGCCTGCCCTGGGTCTGAAGGCAGACGCGGGCAAAGGCATGAGCAGGCTGGGGGCAGAAGTGCTGGATGAAGGGGCCTTTGGTGGGATGAGGCTGGAGGGGGGTGGCACTCCATGAGAACCCCTCCAGCCGGCCCCGCCAGATAGGCTTGCCCAGGGCCCCAGCACTCACCCTGGCCTTGAACGCCATGAGCTTCAGGATCATCTCCAGGGTGAAGATGAGGGTGAAGGCCACGTTGAGGATGTCTGAGATGTGGTTCATCTCCTCTGACTGGTTGTAGTGCTGTTGGGGGCACAGGAGTGGGGCTGGAGGTTGCATTCCCAGAGCCCCATCCTCTTCCTCAGGCCCCCTGCTCAACTTTTTTCAATCTCAGAAAACTGGGGTCCTGCTTCGCCATCCCCTGAATTCTACCAAGCCTAACGACACCCCTTCCCCAGAGAGGTGATGAAAGGAGGACAGAGGCACCCGGCTGCCGTCCTGCGCTGGGCGGCACGGCCGGGCTTCCTCCCGCGTCTGTTCTGGCTGCCCAGAAGGGAGGCCCCAGCAGGCTCTGTGACAGCTCCCTCTAGTCACCTGGGCACGGGACGGGCAGAGGAGCCCCTGGTTGCAGAGCGGGCGTGATGGCCGACTGCAGGAGGACGCTGAGCTCACCAAGCTTACTTTACCTCCTCGCTGTCCCCAGTGACGGTGAGGCGGCTCGAAGCAGCAACCTGAGCCCCTCTGACTCGCCACTGTGACCCTCCTTGAATCTATCTCCTCGTAAAGTTTCCCACACATTTCTTATCCCTTTTTAGAAAGCTGATGATGTCCCACTTCTACCACAAAACCTTCCCAAGCAGTTCAGAAGGACGTGGTGGCTGTCCCTACCCTACCCTGTCCTGGCAGGGCTGCCTAGGTCTGCTGCCCAGCTTGGACCCACTCCTGAGCCATTGCTCATGATCCTCTGTGCGACCTGGGCTGCTGGCTGGGTGACTCCTTTCCATATCTTCATCACCGAGCAATGTGTGGTCAGGCCAATGGGTGTCTCGGGTGCCTCGGGCCAGGCCGAGCTCGGCAACTCAATTTATACAGGGCTTAAGGGATCAGATGTTTAATTAAGTCTTGACAATGATGCTGCTGATTATGATATTCTCTTTAGAGTGTGCTTGACTCCTAAGAGACACCTGCTCTGTGAATATTAAATCCATTTTTCTTGGGACTGGAGCCAGAATTGCAACCAACTCAACCATCCAGATTCGCAACAGCAGAAGGGAAACAGAGAAAGCGCTTCCCACTTCCTACACTGCCTCGTCCTGTGTAGACGTCCTCTGTTTAAAAAATTGCCACAGCTGTTTGTAGGCTTGGAAGACCTCCTTCCTAAGCAGTCAAGCGTCTGGCAGCACGGCCTGGGTCTGGCTCACGTGTCTCCCGCACAGCGCCTCACCGCACAGAGCCTGGCCCATGGCGGGCGCCAGGAGAAGCGCCCGGAGAAGCAGGCGGACCCTGCCCAGGCCACAGTGCCTCAGGCAGTCTCCGGGGGCCTTACCTGCATGCCCAGGCAGATGGTGTTGAGCATGATGAGGGCGAACATCAGGTACTCAAAGTAGGAGGAGGTGACGACGTACCACACCTGGTACTGGTATGGGTTCTTGGGGATGTAGCACCGCAGTGGGCGGGCCTTGAGAGCATACTGCACACACTGGCGCTGAAATGCACCACCACAGAGCGGGTCAGCGCCAAGGGGCCCCCTCCCCCTGCCCCCAGCGTCCTGGGCTTCAGAACCCTGCATCCGGCAGGCCGGGAGCAGCTGGGTCTAGAGCCTGCGTGGAGGACTCCACTAGACTGCCCAGGGAAGATCCCACTGGGCCTGCGGGGCTTTGTGTCATCACGGCCCGAGTCTAACATGGCTCTAGCCCGGGGGCTCGAAGGCCTTGCTTTCTCTGGGTGCCATGTGAAGACCCCCACCCCCCCAGGATGTACGCTTCAGGCTGGAGATGGGTTGGAGGTGAGGGAGAGAGAGAGAGGCTGCATCTGGGCACCACGCGGAGGCTCTCTGCCATTCCTGCCCGAGGCCGCTCCGCGGGCCTGGGCCTCGGACTCGGGCTGGCAGGGGCTCTGCGCTCCATCTGCAGCAGGCGGCCGGGCACCTGGTTCTTGTCCAGCTCGCAGTTCTTGTACTCGGTCTCGCCCTGTTCCTGGAAGGTGACGATGACGAAGCCCACGAAGATGTTCATCATGAAGAAGGCGATGAGGATGAGGTAGGTGATGAAGAAGACGGCCATCTCCACGCGGTGGTTGTAGACGGGGCCCGTGTCCTCCTCGTAGGCGTCTATGGCCTTGTACAGTAGCCTTGGGGCGGGCGAGAAGGGAGGGCGGGCTGGGCTGGGATGATGGGGGCGGCCAGGCCAGGGCGGGCTTCATCCTGCCAGCCATGGGCAGCCCGGGAACTTTCTGAACAGTCAAGCGGTGGGAGAATTAGGGCCGTGCTGGGGGCGCTGGGACAGATCCTGGAACAGGCCCGCCCACCCATGAGGAGACCGTCTATATCCAGTCACCCACAGGGTCCCCTGCGGGCAGAGAGGCCCACACCCATGGGGGACTGGCTACGTTCTGTCAGCGCACCCTGGTCACACTCCCAATGGAGTGATTGGTCAGCACGCCGGTCCTGCAGACCATCAGGACTGTGCTGAGCGCTGGCCGTGGGTCTGGCACAGAGCAGGGGGTGGGGGCGGGCAAAGGGCGGGGCAGCTTCCCGACGCTGTGCCTGCCCCGCCATGATGGACCCTCAGTGGCCCTCACTCACTGGGGCCATCCCTCGAAGGTGGAGACAGTGAAGAGCGACATCATGGCTGAGAGCACGTTGTCGAAGTGGAAGTCGTTGTGCACCCACTGGCGGGGACGCAGCTCCATCTGCGTGGGGTCCCCGTCCTTGTACACATAGTAATAGCCCCTAAGGCGAGGAGGCCCAGTCACTCCCCTGGGCAGGGCTGGACCACCTCCTCCGCATGCTGAGTGTGCTGGAGAAACAGCCACGTGGACGGGGGCACACGGAGGGGACACAAGCAACTCTCCCTCCCATCATCCAGGAAAGGTGCCTCCATGAACATGCCTCCCAGGCTCCCAGCCCGGAGGGCCACTGCCTCTGGCACAAGGTCCCCACCCAGGGACCCCTGTCCCCTGCACTCTCAGCTGGCAGGGCGGCACCTGCGCCCCAGGGGCCCCTCCTCCGCCCACCTGCACTCCTTTTCTGTCATCTTGGACTCGTCATTGCAGCTGAAGAACTTCCCCTACATCCGCAAGGAATGGGGAGGGAGACACTGTATAGACACAGGACTGCAAAGTGGGCACAGGAAGGGAGGGTGGCCATCAGGAGGGTGAGGCTGTCTTCCCCTCGGAGGGGGCCCAGCTGGAGGCAGGCCCCAGAGGAGTCTCCACATCTCCAGCCCCCCTCAGGCTTCCTGCCAGGCCTGCGTGCTGCCAGGCCTGGGAATCCGGCTCCTTAAAGCATTCGAGTGCTCGGAGCTGGGCCTGGGGGGCGCAAACAGGAATACGGCTGGGCCCTCCTTCTCTGTGGTGGGGCCCCTTCCACCCCCAGTGGCAGCAGGAAGCCCTCTTAGGGTCCCCCCATCACAGAGCAGGAAGGGCTCTCCTGCCAGCGGGCTGGCCCTGCAGCTGCTGTGGGGACACACGCTGCAGGGGTGGGGGTCCCCCGTCTCAGAGTCAAACAGGTGGCCCCACACACCCACCCCAAGGCCTGAGGAGGTGGGCTCTGGGCTCCCCTATACAGATTCTAGCCAGAGAAGTTCCTCCTTTTACCTACAGCACATATTGAGCACTCACAGATTTTGTTTGAACAAAAGGAGTTGATTGCTAGGTTTTAATATGCCTAAATTAAGTTTGAAATACATGGATTCTGGTCCAGTTCCATCCAAGGCCAGAGAGGGAAAATGCCTCAGCTCGAGGGTACACGGCTACCCCCTACCCACTGTGGGGCTCTGCTGTTCCTACGGCATCCCCCGTCACGGGGGCTGGAGCAGAGGGGTGAAGATGAGGCGGGCGGCACCGGGGGAGAAGCAGGGGAGGACAGCTGCTACCGGGCAGGTTTCTGGACACGTCACACCAGACACCCAGTTTAATATGTAAAGCAAGGCCAAAGTCTTGATACAATAGCTGCGTGTGAACACATGTGCAAGCTCCCAGAGAATGTGATGTACAGACCACTTGTGACAATGCCTGCTATGTAGGTGGGCGGGAACTGGGGGTCTTCTGATGGGAGGCTATGAAGCACAGCTGGACGGGACAGGGAAGGGCGGGGCCCAGGCATTCCCTCAGGGAGCACGCCCCCCCACATTAGGAAGGGTCAGACACAGAGTGCCCTGGGGGGGCCCAGCAGAGGAGGGGCTGGGGTGGGGGCAGGGGCAGCCCTTGCCTGGGGGTAAGAGGAGAAGGGCTACATGGAGAGCACTGGGCACTGTGTCCAGGTCAGGTCAAGGAGCAGTGTCCTAGGTGAGGCCCTCCTGTCCCTCCAGATGTGACTGATAGGGCCCATCCCCCTTGGGGGCCTCTGGGTGCCAACCCCTGACTGCTCTCCCCAGAGCCTGCTCCCTGTCCATGGGATTTGTGGGGCTTGTTTCATGACCCCCTCAGTCCTACCAGAGGCCACGGCCCAGAGAAAATGTTCCAGGAGTGTTTGTTGAGTGAGTGAATGACTGTAAGATGACGTCATTGAATGCCTAAGTCTGACTGAGGTTATGTAGTTGTGATTTTAAAGAATCCAGCTCTGGGCCAGGAGCGGTTTGGGTTATGAAAGGAAGTATTGGGGGTGTCAGTTGTACATGCAAGTATTAATTTCTATGTCCTGCTAATGATTTGAAAGCCAGAGGCATCCAGATAGCAGCCCGGTGGGAGGGGACACCCTCGTAGGACTGACTGCCACATTCCCCCAGGACAGTGAGAACAGAATGAGGCCACTTCCCAGATCTGAACTGATGGCCTCCTGCACTCAGAAACTCCCGGTATATATGAACGATGCCAGACAGACCAGCCTGGGGCATGGTGGGCAGAAGGCCAGCTGATGGGGGGTGGAGCTGCGGCAGTTCTAGCCTGGCAGGCTGGAAGGGGCTGGGAGATGATGACAACGGGGAGGGCCTTGCGGGGCCCAGCAGGTGTGGGGAGGGACCTTCATCCTCAAGGAGAAACCACGGACAGCCAGGAAGACATCAGATCCAATGGCCGTGGTGGCTGGCAGAGCCACAGGGCCAGGGCAGGGCGTCCTCCAGGGAACGGCCCCCAGACTGGATGTGGCTTAGCTGCAAAGCTCTGCGCACTCAAGGGCATCTGCCTCCACAGGCCGGGCCCCCTTTGCTCAGAGCAGGGAGAGAGACCGGTTCCTGCTCCGCCTGGGCACTGGCGCCTGGGCTGGGACAGGAGGGGACGCCGCCCCGGCAGGCGGGCTCACCTTGAAGAGCTGGACGCCGATGCAGGCGAACATGAACTGCAGGAGAGTGGTGACCAGGACGATGTTGCCGATGGTGCGGATGGCCACGAACACACACTGCACCACGTGCTGTGGACGGAGGGGCTGGTGAGCACACGCCCCCTCGCTGTCCCTCGCTGCCTCCCAGCTCCCCAGAGGCTCAGAGAGGCTCCTGGGGAAGAGTGGCTGCCCAGACTCATGCTCACCCCCCATCTGGCGAAGGGGTGGGGAGGGTGCCCCGGCAGCGGCCCCCGCGGCCCCTCTCTGCCTTCCCGGGTCCTGCCCAACCCTCTCTCACCTTCAGCCCTTTGGCCCTGTTGATGGCCCGGAGGGGTCGGAGCACCCTCAGCACCCTGAGGATCTTCACCACGGAGATGGTGCTGGACCTGGGGTGGGGTGGTGGCTGAGGGCGGTGGATTCCAACCCCCAACACCTGCTCCCCCCGCCTTCCCCAGCCCTTCCCTCCTGCTGTGCGTGTGCTCTCCCGGGGATGAAGGTGCCTCCCGCTCTCCGGGCCACTGTCACTGGTGTGCCACCAGCTCAGTAAGGGCTCCTCTGTGTGTGGCTCCAGGCTGTCTCTGCCATCAGACAGGGAGCAGCCCGGACGCAGGGGCTGCACCTGCTGCCTGGCCCTCAAGCCCTCCCTCCCGGGCTCCAGCACACGGCTCTGCCCTCGTAGTGTTGTCACTGCAGCCTCAGGGGCGACAGCCCTGGCCCCCATCCATGGCCCTGAGGGACCCTCCCTTTGCGGCTTGGTGCCCCCCAATGAACAGCAGGTGGTGCTCCTGCCCTGAGGCCCCGAGCATGAAGCAGGGCAGTTGTGCCCCAGGCTGGCCCCTGCCACTGCTCACTCAAGTCCCATGGAGATGAGGGACACGGCCACCACCAGCAGGTCCAGGATGTTGAAGTAGTTGCGGCAGAAGGAGCCCTTGTGCAGGAAGGCACCGTAGGTGGTCATCTGTGGGAGAGGCGGCATTCTGGGTGGGGCGGAGCTTGGGAGCAGGTGCGCCCCCCAAAGAAAGGCTCCCAGGGAAGGTTCACCTCTGCTCAGGAGGAGCCCTTGGCGAGGCCAGCAGTGGCCAGAAGGCTGTGCCTTTCGCTGCACTCCTTGCCTACCCTGAGCGCTTTGCATCCCCGTCTCTGCTCCCCCGGCTCTGGAAGTGTGACGGCTTCTCACGGGCCGTGATGCCAGGCTTTGCTCTCTGAGCACGTGTTTCCCCAGATGCCATGGGGAGCCCCAGAGTGGGGAAGCCTGCCCTCCTCTCTCCAGAGGACATGATCAAGTGCCCCCCACTCCTCCCTGGAAAGCCCCCTCAGAAGTCACCTCTGCCCTAAGGACTGCGGAGTCAGGCAGCCAACCCCGGAGACTCGGAGACCTTTGCAAGCCTCTGACTCCCCTCTTCCCTCTGCAGCCCCTCTCCTGCCACCCCTCTGCTTCCTGCTCTCCTCTCAGCTTCTGTCATCTGGTCTCCAATAACCTCCCAGGCCCTTTGCACGAGCACATCATGTCCCTGAGGTCTGGGAGGGTGAAGTATTACCTGGCATTCAAGACGATTCTGTCTCAACTCCCCTCCCAGCCTCTGAGCCCAGGCCTCCATGTTTGTGCACTCCATCTCAGCCCAAAGGGGTCACTTTCTGCCCTCTGAGCAAATCCCAAAATCTCCTTTCAATGCATTCACTATTTTTCTGTCCTCTTGGACCGACTCTGGTATCTCTCCCCAGTAATGAATCTTTTCCATCTTCCAGGTCTAACTCTAATGCCACCACCTCCAGGAAGTCCTCCTGGACCTTGAGGAAGCCACCCTCTCCCTCTGCTCAGCTCCTTCAGTAGTGGAGGCCATGAAATAAGTAAGGGACTGTTCTGGTTTCATCATGCAGCCTGCCCTGAGCCCAGGACACCCCCTTCTTCCCTCCTGGCTTGTGAAGGTAAAGGCTGGGACTACTCGGTCTCAGTCACACGTGGGCCCTCTCTTTGGTCCCCAGACCTTCCACTGTGGTAATGTGAGCCCAGTGTGTCAGCCTCGGGAATAGGAGAGCAGCCATGTGCCGTTGACCAGGACCGGGAGGGCCGTGATAGGGCGGAGCTGCCAGAGACCCCCCCCTCAAGGCCGCAGTCACTTCTCTGGGGACCCCTGGGGGGAGAGGCCTTTCAGGCATTGGTAACAAAGGTCCAGGAACAAGTCACAGCTCCCTGGATCTGCTCTTAGGCTAACTGCACCCTCAACGTGGGAAGAAAATGCCTATGGCTTCCCAGACACAGGTGCGTACAGCGTGTAAGTCGGAGCCACAGCAGGTGTGGCCGCTCGGCCTGGACACACCCCTCATCCAGCCATCCCTCAGCCTTCACTCACCTTGAGGACAATCTCCACAGTGAAGACAGAGGTGAAAGCGATGTCAAAATACCCAAGGATCTGGTGACAGGGCCGGGGAGAGAGAGGTCAGTGAGGAAGGGCGGAGCAATGGCACCATCTTTATGCCACCACGACCAGCATCATTGAAACCAGGTGACAGGAGCCTGTCTGTGTTGCCTGCTGTGATGACACTGTTCAGAAGGAGGGACTGCACAGTCTTGGCCCTCCAGGGATTTAAACTCTAATACACTCTGCTGCCATACCACACAGAGGATACAGCTGAGCTCTAACACCAGAGCAACGCGTGCCAGTGGCTGACCTTGGAGTGGGGAGGGGTGCTGAGCGGGCAGAGGGCACGGGTCTGCCATCACCTGATTCCTCATGGACTCTGCCCGGATGGGGTCCTCGGCAGCCAGGGCGGCACTGCTGAGCAGGATGAAGAGCAGGATGAAGTTGGTGAACCACGTGGCATTGACAATGCGATGACACAGGACACGGATCCTGCAGGGGTGGGGGTCAGGGCAGCTATGAGCCACGGGGCGCTCAGGCCTCACCAGCCGCTGTCCTGCAGAGGGCCGCTGGGTTGCACCTCACGGGTCGGTGGAGAAGGACGCCTGCATCTGGATGGTCCTCTGACCGGACGTGCAGGTGGCCCTGCCCCTCATTCTGTCCCTGCAGCCTCAGTTGCCCCTCACAACCAAGCCCCTCCAGCACCACCTGCCCTCTCCCCCAGGATCCCACCCCCACCCCTCCACAGTTTCCCCACCAGAGAACAGGACAGGCTGACCTCCATCCACAAGCCAGAAAGGTGAAACTCCATGAAGACTACAGTCTACGTGTATTTTAAAGTTGTAAAATTGTGAGGTCAAAATTGCTCCCAGGAAGGAGCCAATATATAGAATCCCCCTCAGGTGTAAGTACCTGCTGAGGTTTACAGCATTACCTCTCTCAGAGACACTAGCATTTCAAACAGGGCACCAGAGCTTAAGCTGGAGGAATGAGTTTCTCAGAGTGTAACGCTAAGCCCAGAGAATCAGGTGAAAGGGCCTTTTTAGGGCAGCCCTCCCCGGAAGCCCCATTGGCCGTGCTGCTCGGCAGCCAAGGGACCCCCTACTTGTTGGTGGGGCTGAAGATGAAGAAGGAGCTGGCATCTGGAATGGGCACCGCCTTCTCTTTCAGCTGCAGCTCAGCCAGGGGGCGCGGGCGGGGGCTCACCGGGATCTCTGGCTCATCTTCTTCATCATCCCCTGTGGGGAGGAGAGAGAGCGGAATTGGGAGTGTCCTTCCCTACTCTGCTGCTCCCCTGGCTTCTATGCTCTGAATCCCACCACGACGTCCCAGCAGCCAGCAAGCAAAAGGTGGTAGCAGTCAAGGCAAGGCCCGAGGACGTCAGCACAGTCCAGCCCATGGGTCTCTCCTTCCCTGCAGCGAACAGGCCTGAGTTGTTGCAGATGACCGTCAGACCCGGACCCTCCAGAAGTGGGGCCGAGAGCAAGATCGGGCGGCCTTGATGTCGCATCTTCTGTCTCAGGGCTGGACTCACACCATCTCAAATGCTCACAAGCTGGGGAGCACTGGGGGGCCCTGCTTCAGATGAGACCTGAGTTCTGGTGCTTGGCCATGTCCCTAACTTGCTGTGCATGCTAGGAAGTCCCTGTCCATCCAGGGCTTTGGCTTCCCAGTTTGCAACATTGCTGAGGGGCCAGAGGCTTGTTGAAATAAATGGACTCTGAGGTCCTCTCCTGGGCTAGATGCTAAACCACTGCAGAGGCGACTTGCCAGCATGAGAAGAAATCACACTGCTTGGGCTTTAGCCAGACTCCAGCACCAAGGCAGACACTGCGGTGAGAGGGGGTGGAGGAGAGAGATGGCCCTCCAAGCTCATTCCTGTCCCATGGACTTGTGAGAGGGAGCTGACCCCCCCGAGGCCCTCAGCTCCAAGGGGAGGATCCAGCGATCAGGGTGGGCAGCCCTGGCACAAGCTGGAGTGCCTGGCATCTTGCAGCTCTTGTCCAGTCCCTTGGTTCCCTCACCCCACAGCCGCCCCCTCCCTACCATGCCAGCTCCTGGCAGAGGCCCCTTGGGGAAGCCGAAGCCATGGACTCTGCTCCTTCCATCCTGGCAGCCTGCACAGGTTCTCAGCCCCGCCAGAGACCCCCACTTCTTCTTCCTCACAATGAGTGCCCTGACATGACACTTCCCGTCCTCCCCCGGCTGCCAGACACCCCAGAGACACAGTTTGTGCTCAATCACAGGGACTGTTAATTCTTGCAGTCAGCATATTTGCTTTCTTTCTACCGGTTAATTCTGATTTCTTCAGTCAATGCCCAATTTATTAACTTCATTGTCCATATCTTTTGTCATAAGGCATTTCAAATTATTTTTGAAAAGAAGCAGGATAAACATATTCAGCCCCTTTGGCTAGACCTCTTCCAGCTGCCCACCCCATTGCCCCTCCACCCTCCGCACTTCCCCTAACCTCGGACTCCCCAGGTCAGCCACCCTCTACCAGCCACTCACGTCTATTAAGGATGGGTGTTAGATGAAACAACTCAAGATGAATTATTTTGAAATGCAAATATTTGTTTCTGGCAGATATCTGAAGAAATATTATTAGTCTTATCTGCACCAGCTCCATTCTCCCCACACTTCACTTTGCAAAGTCCTTCCATGCATTAGTTCAGTCTGTTTATTGAGTGCCTATTCTGTGCCATCTGGAACACAGAAAGCTCTCCCTGGACCTTAGAGTCCCCAGGGCAAACTGATGCTAACCAGCTGATTCCACTGATGGACCAGCGACTCAGGGCCCCGACAGACTCATGGGTGAGCTAAGAGAACCCAAGAGCTCAGAGGCATCAGGGCTCTTGCAGGCAGCCTTGCGGCATGAACCCAGCCTGGCTCCACCCCTTCCATGTGTTCTCTGGGACAGATGAAGAGGATTTCTGCAGCAGCCACTGGTTATTTGCACTTACAAGATGTTATAGTTTATCCACAGCCATGGATTATCCTCTCTCCCAGCCTACCTTTGTCACCTTCATTTGGATCTTCCCACAGGGCAAGTCCCTGTATCAGTCCATCCCCCAGTCCTGCCAGACACTGGATGCTGAATAACCTGCCCACCTGCCCCACACACTTGGACACACCCTCATCAACGATCTGCGCTGTGTGGCTAGAATGGAAGACCTGTGTAGCCATGAGTCTGTGCCCCTAAGCATTGAAGCCCACTCCTGGCACTCAATAAATACTTGCTGAATTAAAGGAAAATAAAATGCATGGATTTTTCTGTTGTGTGTATTGTAAGGAGAGGCCGGCTGGCAGGTAGCTTATTTGCATGACTAGGTGCAGAGGGACATCCTGTGTCCTGATCTCCTCACGGAAGAGTCCAGGCAGGGGACACACAATAGGCTGCCCCCAAGGAGAAATCCACCCCAGCATATTCCCCCCAGGGCCCCAGGACCCTCACCTGGGAAGTCAGCCGAGGGGTAGGGGTCCTTCACCTCATTGACACTCGATTCAAACTCATCTATTTTCAGCTGTAGGAAGAGCACAGTGACAATGACGATAGGAAAAAGCTGCAGTTGCCACTTATTGAACATTTACTGGGGGCCCGTGTAGGCTTCAGCTCTCTTCACCCTCCCTGAAGCCTGAAGGATAGGCCATGTTATGATCATTCTCATTTTACAAACGAGAAGCCAGCCTGGATAGGTCAGACCAGTTGCCCAAGCTCCCATGGGACGAAGCCAGGACCTCCGCCAGTCCCGGTCTGTGCACTGCACCCCTGCTGGTTCTCAGAAGGGAGCTGAGCTCCCCAGGCCGGGGTCCCGGCCCCCCTGGGGTCCAATTCCCTGACCTGCTGAGCTCTGCTTCCTCCGCATCCAGGGAGACTGAACAGGGCAGGGCTAGGAATGGTGGGAGGCCAGTCTGGGCCTCTCAATGGAACAGGGGTGTCAAGAGGGGAGGGGGGCTCCTTGACTTGGGTGGGAAGCTGGGGTTCTGAGGAAGTCTGGTTCCCAGATTGGGTTCCCAGTACAAAGGGTTCCCTGCTGTAGCCATAGCCACTGACTCTTTCCCCAGTATCATGAGGGAGATAACCAGGCAGAGAGCCTCTCCCCTACCTTCCCAAACCCCTACCAGCACCCCAAGGCCCGGGGGTGAACGGGGGGTTTCCGAGGTCGGTCCCCATCCTGCCCCAGGCCCGCCCCATGTGGTCTGCTCACCTTGGCGGTGGTGGGGATACCCTCCCCCTTGGGTTTCTGTTCCAGTTTCTTGGCCATCATGGACTTCTCCTCCTCTGGCTTGTCTGGAAGGCCCCTGAGTGGGAAAACCAAGAAAGCCAAGTGGGGGCCCGACTAGAAAGTTCTCTGGGATCCGCTCAGCCTGATGGGGCCCTCAGGGGCTCTGGGCAGGAAGGCCAGGACACGGGCAGGGATGTGGGCCTGGGCAAGCCCTTTCCCTGTAATGAGGGGGCATGGAGCTCAGGTCGGGCCTGCGGCTAAACAGGGCTCACTGGCCAGCCACATTCCATGGCCACTGACCAGCGAGTAGGGGGAAGGATCTTTGCAGCACTGGCGCCACCGGGGAGCCCCGACCCACCCATCTTGAATCAGAATCAGCATAACAAGACCCCAGATGACCCATTTGTGGGTAGAATGTAGGAAATACTGCCTAGAAGACCAGGCCTGCTTCTGTTCCCAGAGGGGGGTCCAGGCTCCAGAGAGTTAAGGGACACACTTGTAGATGGGGAGAACTGTAAAGGTCCTGAGGAGCCAGCCACCACGCACACAGGATGCCTGAGACTCTGCAAAGGGAAGACTCCATCCAACCCTCCAAGAAGTGCAGGGGCTTCATGGACAGGCTGGGGGATTCCTAGACCCCTCCCTGGGGCACCTTGGCCTGATTCCCCAGGCTTTGCCATTTCCTGAGGACTTTGTAGAGGCTGCCTTGCCTGTAGTCCTGCCCAGGGATGCCTCCTGGGACCCCAGCCATCCCTGGACATGCTGTTGGCAAGCCTGTCTGGAAGTCCCAGCTCTGCTCCCCTGGGCGGCATGGAGTGAGCGCCCTGCTGCTGGGGTGGGCACTGTGGGGGTGCGGCCCTTGCTCAGCAGGCCCCAGGGAGCGTGCACCCCATCCCTCCCTGCTGGGGAGGCAGCCCTCACCTGGACATCTTCCTGCGCTTTCGCTCCTCAGCCTTGGCCTTCTGGGCAGAGGTCAGGCTCTCCGCCTCGGCTAGGTTGTCCACAGCGATGGCCAGGAAGACGTTGAGCAGGATGTCTGAGGGCGTCCAGCTAAGGAGCCTCGAGTTGTGGTGAAAGGGAAACCTCTGGGCCCAGAGTCCTACATGCATGCATGTTGGCAGAACCTGAGCCTGCTCCCTGGGTGGGGTCCTGGAATCCCACGGGAGGGCAGGGGCCCCGGGACATGGACAAGCATCCTCAGGGAAGCCTGCCTACAGAGAGTGCCCGCGATGGGGCCTGAATCCCCAGTGGCCTCAGATGCCAGTATTTCCTGCTCAGGACTGATCCCAGCTCCTACAGAGGCTGTCTGGGAGCCATGAACCCACGGGAACTCAGGGAAGGGTGGCCCCCTCGCTCCCTCCCTCCGATACCAGGCTCCAAGGCACAGGCCTCCGGGGCCTGGCTGCTGGCTCTCTGTACCCTGCCCGCCGCACCCCCAGCCTCTCGGCTCATCTCTCGGTTCACCCATGCTCAGCCTGCCTGGCTCCCTGGCTCCTTCCCACCTGCCCTCCCACCTCTGGACCAGGCTGTCCCCTGAGCTTCCCTCTTCTCTGTTCCCCTTGCCCTTCCTGCTCCCTCCCTCAGGCTCACCAATCTCCCTGGCATTAATTCTCCCACCCCTGTGGTTCTCTGGCCTTCCTGGCAGGAGGATTATCCTGCAGCTACACCTGCTTTTGGTGTTTGCTGGAGCCTATCTCCCAGCCCACCAGGAGCTTGGGAGCTCACCTGTGGCCAGAGAGCCTGGTGCCTGGCAGGTGGACACCCCTGACTCTGTTTCAAGCCTGTCTCCCAACCCCCCCTCCCCAAGCCCTTTCCTGCGCCCTGTTCCTGAGGGGGTACAGTTGCCACAGACGAAAAGGATGATGAAATAAATGCACACAAGCATGCCGGGGTAGGACGGACCGCCGTAGGCCATGATCCCGTCATACATCACAGAGTTCCAGTCCTCACCCGTCAGAACCTGGAGGGACAGGGAGAAACAGGGGTTGGGGGGGACACAGAAGGACCTGGGACCCGTCAGTTGGGGCCGAGCTCTCTGAGAGGCCCCTTGCGACCCGCCACGCCCTGGACCTGTCCTCTCTCCCTCCGTGGCCGGGACAGAAGGTCCCTGCTCTCTTCCTGGGGCCTCTTCCTTATCACTGGCTGCCCAGGCGAGGGGTTTGACTGTGGCGTCCCCACTCCTCCGTGCCCTGTTCCTAATGCCAGGCTTAACTGTATGTAATGCGTCCTGACAGGCTGCCTGTTATCCCAGCCTCCAGAAATAGTGTGAAATGTTTAGTGCCTTGGAAGACGTAATGCCTGAGCAGCCAGGGGTGTGACAGGAAGAAGGTGTAGAGCCAGCCAGATTGTCACACACGGCCCCTCCCATGGCACCAATGGGCAGGGTCCCTCCTGAGCACGGGCTCCAGCAGAGGGGGCATTTCTCTGCCCTGCACAAGGGAAGCTCCTCCTTAGGCCTGTGGCTCTGACTGGCCTCTCAGAAGTCAGAGTCATTCAGGCTCCTGTGAACGGCCTCTAGCAAACCCTGGCCAAGCCCTGCCTCTGAGGGAGAAATGGTCGGCACTTCTCTGGGGCCTTCACGGCCTTGGCAGGGAGAGCTCACCGTGCCCGATACCAGGAGCAATGGAGAGAAAACATGCAGCTGGGCCCCCAGTGCACCCCACCTCCACTCCTTCATTATCTGCCCGCCTCCATTCACTCCTGGTCTGTGGGTCAGCCCTCTGCAAGGCACCAGGGAGGAAGACAGGACACACGGGGCACAGCCCCTGGCCTCAGGAGTGTGGAGGAGACAGACAGGCAGCTATTCCAGTGCAGAGCAGCACAGGGCTGAGGGGGCCTGGAGAGGGACCTCGAACTCAAGCCCACAGATCAGAGAAGGCTTCACAGAGGAGGTGACGCCCACCATGACCTTGAAGGATGAGAAGCAGGATTGAGCCCGTGCAGCTCGGCCTACCTGGAAGACGCTGATGAGAGCCTGTGGGAAGCTGTCGAAGTTGCTGCGCCGCACCTCCGTGTCCTCGAAGTCGTACCTGCCCCCAAAGAGCTGCATGCCCAGCAGGGCGGAGATGACGATGAAGAGGAAGAGCAGCAGCAGCAAGGAGGCGATGGAGCGGACGGAGTTGAGCAGGGATGCCACCAGGTTGCTCAGCGACGTCCAGTGCCTGAAAGAAGCTCATGAGGCCCCGGGCGGGCTTGGACCGGGGGGAGCAGAGGGCGACAGGGCTGCCTCTGGCCGAGAAGGCCCGGGGTGCGTGCATGGAGTGCAAGCCGCCTCCGCTTCCCCCGGAGCACTCACCCAGATTGCTCCTCCATCCCTGCCGGTCACAGCGCTAGACCACAGGCCCCGTGAGAGTGAGGACCGCCTCGCTCCTGGGCACCCGTGCCCGGCACCGCGCCCAGCTCGGGGGGCGCTCAGTCAGCCCTCAGGAACGCGTGCCTGCTCCGCCCCTTCCCTCCCCGCTCCCTCCCTCCTCTTACTGGGTCCTTCCTTATTCCCAGGCTCCTCCCCCACCTGCCTCTCCTTCCTCCCCCCCAGCCCCTTCTTCTCCCCCCTCTCTCCTGTGCATGCCCACCGTCCCTGCCCCACTGCGAGACAACGGTGAGGGGCAAGCAAAGATCAGAGAAGTGAGGTCAAGAGGGGAGAAGCAATTTCTCTTGCATAGAGGGGGGCCGGTTCCTGGCCGGGGCCACCGGGGACCTTGTGCAGACCCCAGGCCTCGGGGTGCAGGGTGGGTGGGACCCGCCTGGCGCTCACTTGGTGACCTTGAAGATCCTCAGGAGGCGGACGCAGCGCAGCACGGAGATGCCCAGGGGGGTCATGGCACCCGATTCCACCAGGAGGATCTCCAGAATGCCACTGCACACCACGAAGCAGTCGAAGCGGTTGAAGATGGACATGAAGTACTGACGCAGGCCCAGCCCGTACATCTTCATCAGCATCTCGACGGTGAAGAGGGACAGCAGCACGCGGTTGGCGACGTCTGCGGGCGGCAGTGTGGCCTCAGCTCCCTGCCCGCCTGCTCGCCCTCTCCCGCCCCAGCTCTCGCTTGGCCAAGCCCTCAGCCCCGGCGCCCTCACCACCTTTCCCAGCATCCTCCTTTCTCCACCCTCAAAACCCATTGAAATCTGGTGAATTGTTGCCCGTGGAAGTAGCACTGACCTAGATTTCTAAAAAGCTAAGCCATTCCATATTAACAATTTTATTTCATCTAATTTCACTTAAAATCACGAAGCTCTGCCACTTCCTCATGACGCCTCCCTCTCTCTTGCTAGAGGAGGGGTCCCCCCACCTTTCTGAAGCTGATCTGTCCCCTCTGCTTGCCCCACGCACCCCCAACCTCAGGAAACCCACTGCCAGTGACCCCTTTTCTTCCCCATGTTTAGCCTCTTCCTTTCTAAGGCACTGTCCTACTGCCGTTCTAAACGCGCAGCCAACCCTGCTTTCCCTGTAGCTCTGCCCTCGCTCTCTCCTTCCAGTCACAGCCACTCTCCAGAAAAGGTTACCTACTCCGATTTCTCACCTCCTCAGACCTATTCCTTCTCCAACTCAGACCTAACTGGGTGCACCCCCTCACTGCACCAACACACGCTCCTGTCTTCCATCGCTTCCATGTTACCAAATCCAGCCAACATTTTAATTCTCATTTTCCTGACCTCCCAGAAGCATTGGGCACCATTGACCAGCCTCTCTCAGCCCCCAAAATACCCAGTCACTGACTGACTTCCCCATCTCAGTAAGCAGTGCTACCATCTGTTTACCTGCAAAGGCCAGGAATCTCAAATTCATCTCTCACTCCTTGTGGTGGGCAGTGTTCACATCCTGCCCACATGTGGTCACAGACAGCGCCCTGACCATGCTTGGCACACTCAACAGTTAACGGCTGGGTGGACGGACGCAGGCGTGCATCTGGTCTGCAGCATCGTTTCCTATCTCCTTCCCATAGAAGGTGACACTCTTCTGCCCTAATTATTTTCCTTCCTTTTTCTCTTTCGTCCTTTTACACATAGTGTCTTTTGTACTATATTGCAGGCTCCTGGAGTTGCCAGCTCCTGTGGGTTGTGTCTGATCATTCTTCCTCGGGGGCCCTGTTCCCTATTCAGTTTGCAATTGTTTTGTTGTGAGCTCATCTTTGGGAAATACTTTCCCCCGCAGGGATTCTGTGTACCTTTGGTTGAGACGCATCCTTAAAGAGTGGATTACATTCACTTCTGCTGGGCACCCCAGAGGCTTCCCTTGTCTGTGACTAGCTTTTCTCACCTGAGCCATTTTTCGTTGTTCCCAGAGCTTCCAACAAGGAAAAACTCCCAAGCTCTCTCTGTGGCCCAAGGGGCAGTGAGCTTTTGCTTTCCTTACATGGGGACAGGGCCTTGGCTCTATGCCTTCCAGCTCCCACCCCACACAGGCCCCAGGCCCTGTCTCTTCTTCCTGTATAGGTGTTAAGAAGCCAGTCACCACCCCCTAGGGTTTAAGCCTAGGTCTAGAATGTTCCTGAAAGTCAGCTCACAAACACACTGCTTTCAGAAGCTTCTTCATTTCCGCCACTCAGCAACTTCCTCTCCTTTCTTTGAAATATGGTTCTCGTGACATGGGCAGCACTGCTAACTGCTTGTCGTGGGGAACACTTAGTCTGGCCCACCGTGTTGCTGGAACTTGTCCCCCTTTTCTTTGGAGAACTCGTCACAACCCAAAGTCCCCCACACAGGAGGGCACCCACTGCACAGATGAAGCGGACAATTCACCTTCCACCAAGACTGACCTTTCAAAAACTCAGGTCAGATCGTGTTACATGCCTGCTCTTTGTTTTATTTTATTTTCATGAGCTTCCCATCACCTAAAGGCTAAAGTCCTGACACTCCTGCTACTTCCACTCACCACAAAGTGCGTATGGCTGCTGAGCTCACCACACCGTCCCAGGTCACCCTGTCTCTGCACGTGCTGTTCCCCTGCAGGAATTCCCCCCTCCCTGTGGCTGCCTGGCGCTTGTCTGCCTTTCCTTAAGATCCACCGAACCCCAACATCTCCTGCCCTGCAATCTTTCTCTTGCTACCTTCAATTTACCTCTGTCATTGCCCGCCTTACATTGGCATTATTTATTGATATGTCTTCCCTTCTGACCAGGTAAGCAGCCTGAAGCCAAGAGCAGTGCATTAATTCTTTGTGCGTCCTGAGCTCCTTTGCAAGCTTTTCCTACAGTATATATGTGACAAACAGTTGCTGAAAGATTGCTGTTGTGGGAGGAGAATTTGAACTTGGATGTTTGAAGTTCTAAACTACTGATAATCTTTATGTCCAGTATCTATAATTTAATAATTTTCTCTGACACCTGGACAAGCACCTGGAGGTTCCCCAATGTGTTGTCACCAGTAATGCCATGAGGAGGAAAGCGTCACCAGCCTACCATTTCTAGAAAACGACGTCACTATCTAACTGACCTCGTCTGCGAACGGAGGTGCTACTGGCTGGCTCTGGCCACCTCCCCCATCTGTCCTGTTCCTGGCCTCATTCTGTGCTGTCTCACCTTGCAAATGGGTCAGCCAGAGAGGCTGGCTGTGGTGCTCTGAGGCGATGGACAGGGTGTTGAGGGCGACAATCAGGATCACCAGCCAATAGAAGACCCTGGACTTCACCACCTCATGGCACTTCCAGCGAAAGACGCGGTTCCACCGCCTCCAGTGTCGGCTGGGAGAGGACGCAAAGGAGGATGGAGACAAAAAGCTGCTTTACTCCAAGCTCCCGCCTTTCCGAGGTTACGGACTGCTGCCACACTTAGTCTGATCACCTGCCATCCAGCCACTTGAGAGACGCCAAGAGCATGAGCTGCAGAGCCAGACTGATTTAAAATCTTGCATCTAATTAGCAAAGCTGCTCATCTTTCAAAGGAGAATAATGACAATGCCACAACCTCAGAGGGAATAGAGACAATGCTAGCACAGTGCTTAGCGCTGTGCCTGGCATGGAGTAGGGGCTCCACACATTTTCATTAAAGGAACACATGTCACCCATTATAAAAGCAGTTCTTTAGCCAATTAAGAATATCTGGTGCTGGGGAAGGTTTCACAGTCAGCACAACCTTTTGGGAGAGCAACATGGCAGTGCCTGGCAAGGTTTAAAATCTATACACCCTCTGGCCCCGTACATCTTTTCTAGGAATCTGCCCAGCAGAAATAGTCATACTTACGCACAACTGTTCCCTGTGGCACTGTTTGTATTGCCAAAAACTGGAAAGATTAATCAAATATATTATAGTGCATCCATACTGAGGAGTGTTTTATATCCAAATATGTACCGAAAGAAGATGTATGAGCTATCAAGCCAGGAAAGGACGAGGAGGAAACGTAAATGCAAATGACTGCGTTAAAGAAGCCGATGTGAACAGACTACATACTGTGTGGCTCCAACTACATGACATTCCGGAAAAGGCAAACCATAGAGGCAGTAGAGAGGCCAGTGGCTGGCTGCCAGAAGTGGAGGGCGAGGAGGCAGAGCACAGAGGGCCTTCAGAGCAGTGAAAATACTCCGGATGACAATGTCGGATATATGTCAGCACACATTCATCCAAAACCACATCACGTGCAATACTAAGAGTGAGCCTGCTGTAACCCGCGGCCTGGTGATGACATGTGTCCACTGGTGCGTTTGTGGATAACGGGGGAGGCCGTGAATGTGTGGGGCCAGGGGCATATGGGAAGTCCTGTACCTTCAGCTCAGTTTTGCTGTGAACCTAAAACTTTTCCTTAAGAAGCCTTTAAAAAAATGTATGTGTATGGATAAAGTTGCCCTCAACAGATAATTTGAAGTTAAAAATGTAAGTTACTAGATAATATGTGTATCATATTCATTTATTGGTCAAATATTCGGCAGCACCTGTGTGCTGGGCACTGTTCTAGGCTCTGGAGTGACAGTAGTTACATAAATAACCCCGTTATATAAGTAGCCAAAACAAAAACAAAGAACCTGGGGTGTGTGTGTGTGTGTGTGTGTGTGTGTGTGTGTGTGTGTGTGTGTGTGATGAAAGCACAGGAAGTGTCTTGGAGGGATACAGATTGTCACCACGGTCACCTCTCTGCAGGCGGGGGAACCTCCGTCTTGTCTTTGGTGTGGTTCACTGTTGTTTGATCTTTCAAACTCACAGTCATGTGTGAATGTGTGAGGGAAGGAGACGAAGGCCTGGAGCTGGACGGACCCTGTGTCTGACCCCGGGCACAGTTCCCGGTACTGCCCTCTGCGGCGCGTCTCCCCTCGCCCTGCGCAGTTTCCCGGAACAGCCCGCCCCACCCACTCTGCTCTGAGTCGAGGGCAGCAGCCCAATGTGCTGGCTGCCTCCCGGGCCTCCCAGTGTATATAAACAGGCCACCCACTGAGTGCCCTCTGATGGCACTAGGGGGACGGTGGCTGGGCTCCCACCCCATGTCTCTGGGAGCTCAGGGCTGGGAGGACCCCAGGGAGGTGGGCAGGTACTCACACAAACTGGACGATTTTGTTCAAGCCCTCGATTTCATACAGGCTCTCCGTGTCAGAACCGCCTTCATCCAAAGACAGCCTGCCTGGGGACAGGAGCGCACGGTGGGCCCCTCTGCGGGTGACACACCTAGGCCAGGCTCCCCTGGGAAAGAGTCTTTTGACTGGAGGTGCCTGTGACAATGGGTCCTAGTGGGGCTGGAGGCCTCCCTGTGCTCCTGAGACCCAGATCCCCAGGAGCCCAGGAGTGCACATCTGAAGGGGGGTGGTTGTGGGTGGGCAGTGAGGTCCTTTGTCCTTCCGGAGGAGCCTTGGCACGCCCGGATGCCACCATTTCAAGGTGCAAATCACTCCCCTTCTAAGGGCCTTGGTTTTCTCATCTGCAAAACGGCAACGTTCCACCTGCTCGGACCCCACACTTGCAGGAGGGCGAGGTGCGTTCTGCAGGAGCCGACCGCGAGGGCAAATGCAGGGTCGGGGGACGCTGGCCGGGGCCCTGGGCACGAACCTTCCCTCAGGTCCTCGGCGTCCATGACCTCGCCCTGCGTGATCCAGCTCAGGTAGCCCCGGAGGTCCTCCTCCAGCTGCTGCTTCTCCCGGAGCTTCTGGAAGGTGCCCCTGGACTTGGCCTTCTCCCGCTCCTTGGTGAACTCCCTGAGGTGCAACCCGGGCAGTGGGGAGGGGAGCAGGAGAGAAAGAAGGGGCTGAGGGAGGGTCGAGCTTCCCAAGGACAGAGAGGGCACTCTCTCTGGCTGGATGTGCCCCTCCTCCGGTCAGGGCGCCACCTGTGGTCCACGTGCCCTTCCAGGCAGCTGAGGGGCAGCCTCGCGCTCCCTCTCCGTCGCCCACCCCCAGGAGCGCCTTGGAACCCCCGGGCTTCTTTCTCGTGTCCTTCTCATTCCAGCTCATTCTCTCCCGCCCTGGCTGGGGGTCACCCTGGACACTAGCGATGACTGACAGGACAGCCCACTGCTGTGGAATCAGCCAGAAGATCTCCGGTGCTGCCCTGACCCTTCCAGTGGCCTTGGGAGCATCGCTTCTGGCCCCAAGGCCTGGAGTAACCTGTCCCGGGCCTGGAAGGAACCAGGTGGTGACACTGGAAGGCCAGGGCCCCAGGGTCAGCAGGGGTCTGCAGACCAGCAGAGGCGGCCCTTGGCCACACACCGAGGGGCAGACAGGGGGCTCTGAGGAGGTGGGGCTGGGAGGCCAGGAGGGGGCTGCTCCGGCCCTTGGCACCATCCCAGGGGCCGTCCCCAGCCAGGGGCTCGTGGCCGTGGCACGCCACGGGACCCTCCTCAAGACTGATGCTGCTCGATGCGCAAAATAAAGCCATAGCTTTACAAAGGAGCTAATTATACTAAAATGTAGTTACTGAAATATAAAGAAATTGTAACAAAGCAATATATATGCTTTATTCACTCATTAACTAGCAAGATCCAGGTGCAGGTCCCATAATGATCATGTCAAAGTAGTAAGGAGTGTAATACTTGCAACAGCTGTAATGTGACATGTGCCTTCTGCTAGGACAAGCCACAGACAGCGCTAAATTCACTGTGACTTGTTACCCACATTCATAATGAAACTCTCAATTTCAGTGAGAGGTAATGGATGATAGACACCAGTTTTTCCTATCCAAGTTCACAGACCCCCTGAATTTGACCTACAGAAACTGGGATCGCTTCTGAGGTGCTGTGATGGGATGGGGAGAGGCTGGTGGTCACTAGGCTCCAAGCTGGGGCTGGGATGGAGCCATCACGGAGAACAGCCCTCACTGACAGTGACTGACAGTACTCAGCACTTCTTACGGGCTGGACTCTGTTCTAAGTACTTTATAGGTATTAATTCTTTTAATCTTCCCATCATTAAATTCTGAAACAGGTACTGAAATTTCTCCTATTTGACAGATGTGGACCTGAGGCACAGAGAAGCTAGGCAATTAGGCAAAGGTCACACAGCCACCGAGCAGTGGTGCAAGGATTTAAACTTGGGCCTCTAACTCCAGGGTCTGTGCACTGAACTGAAGGTCTTACTGACACAGTGCTGGGCATCAGCTCACACACGTCCAGGGCAGGAGGCTGGGGCCCCAGGACTTTGTTCATAGGGAGGGCGGTGGCAGAGGGACAGGAGGAAGCAAGGATGGAAGAAGGCTTGAGGAGAAGGGAGAAAAGCCGAAAGCTGAGGGGCTTCTGACTGCATCTTCTGTCTCTTTCTTGCTAACCAGGGGGTGCACTCTGGGCTGAAGGGCCCCGGGGTGAACAGAAGCTCTGACCCAGCCCCCCTGTCCGGCCCCACCACTTCCTCCCCCACTGCCTCCACCCCCTTCCCGCTGTCCTTCTTGTCCCCCTCCCCCAACCTCCTCCTCCCCTCTCTCCTCTCTCTTCTCAGCCACCTTTGAACCTCCTTACCCGCTCAGGACACCCAGGACGAGGTTGAGGATGAAGAAGGACCCCAGCAGAATCAGGGTGACAAAATAGATCCACGGCCACTCATTCCCAATGGCATCGTTGACCTGGTCCAGACAGAGGTGTGAGTCCCAGCCCCTGACTTGAGGCTTAGGTCCCCTCCCTGAACTGGCTCACTCCCACTCCACCCAGCCCTGAGGGACAAGGAAGGGGCCACTGGGGCCCAGCAAGGGACCTTTTCTCACTCGAGGACCAGGACCCGGAGCTGGAAGGACCTCCATCGGGGGTCGTGCTGGCTGTCTACCTGGCCCAGGTAAGGCCGACCCATTTCTCCCTCCACCCGTCTGCCTCCCTGGCTTGACTCTCCCAAGGACACAGTCTCCAGCTTTCTTTCCAGCCAAGATGGTTCACAGTGGAAGAAACATGTTAAAGTCTTGGCCTGAGCTTGGCCAGCTCCTTCCTGAATGACCTGTGGCCCTTCCAGTCCCCTGACACCTCCAAGCCTTACCCCACCTGAATGATGGACGATATTTGCGTGCTTCTCATAGGCTGATAATAGAGGGGAAGTGACACATGTGGCTGCCTTTGAAATGTTTAATACTTTGTTCTCATGATACCAACTTATAAGAACTGTTCTTACGAATACTTTATACTTGCAAAGTATTTGACAGTTTTACAGCATTTTCCCCCACAAGCAGTGTCATATCATGGTTGAGTTCTGATCAGAGCCACATGGATTAGAGTTCAGTTCTTGGATCAATTGTTCATTAGCTCCGTAACCGAGGGCAAATGACTGAACCTCCCCCAGCCTCAGTTTCCTTACCTATAAATTGGGAATGATGCCTTCCATTGTTGGACAATTAAATAAAAAATGCAACCTGGTTCTTAATAACCCTAAATGAATAACATACTTCAGCAAGAAAACTCACACAGGACTGACTGGGTGCCAGCACTGTTGTGACTCAGCTAACCTCTCACTGACCCTCATAGCTACCCTAGGATGTGGGTACTAGTTTTATTTTACAGACAGGGAAATTTGTATCTAATCATATTTATATGGGAAAGTGGTTTTGCCTGGCAGCAAGAAGAGAGACTCAAAAGGTCCTTCATCTCAAGAAATCTGAGATTCTAGGCTCTCAGGAGCGAGACACTCCCAGGCTTAGGGAAAAGGTAGGAATTGAGACCAGAAGCCTTGGCTCTCCTGGTTTCTGCTCCCATACCCGTCCTGGGCCCTGCACAGGCAGGCTGTACCTGGGGACAGCCCCTATGGGGACCAGAAGGGGGCCACGCACCTGCAGGAGGTTCCCGGGGGGGCGGGAAGAGAAGGGGCATTCAAGCAGTGATGGGCAGCCCCCACCACCCCCACCCCCAGCTGGTGGCAAAAGGGGATGGCTCCAGCAGGCGCAGACACGACGCACCCAGTAAAGAACGTCCGTCCAGCCCTCCATGGTGATGCACTGGTACACAGTGAGCATGGAGAAGCCGAAGTTGTCAAAGCGGGTGATGCCGTGGTTGGGACCCGGCCAGCCGCCCCGGCACTCGCTGCCACTGATGGTGCACGGGCGCCCTGAACCTGTCCTGGCGCAGGGCGATGGTTTCTCATTCTCCATGGTGGCCACGATGTCTGGAGGCAGAAGGCGGCATGAGCTCAGACAGCAGGCATAGGTGGACAATGATGGGAGAACAGTAGTTCGAAAGCACTGAGTAACAGGTCTATGCCACACGCTGCTGAAATGCAGAGAACTGCTCTGCACGGGTCATGAAGAGAGACGCGTGGGGCCAGGGGCCTGGCGATGGGCACCTACAGGCTGTCTGAGTATGTGGTGGCCTCCAGGGCCTCACCGAGGGTCGGCTTCTGGGGTTACCTGTCCTGTGAAGCACAACTGGTGAAGCAGGTGTAATGTGAGTGCCACCTGTGCCCACAGAGCTCTGAAAAAGGAGGCAGCTGCCTGGCAGGGGCGCTCACGTTCTGACAAAGAGCTCTGCCTGGGGGCCAGAATAGGGGTTCTGAGCTGCTCGTGACGTCGGGCTTCAGAGGCCTCCCCTTGGGGAGCATTCTCAACAGACCTCACCTGCCGACTGTCCCCTCTGTGTGTGGACGCTGCTCTTCCTGCCTCATGAATCCTTCCCCTCTGACGACCCCCTGACGGCCGCCTGCCCTGGATTGTTTTTGTTTCCTTTGGTGCTCAGAGGTCTGGTTAGCTCATTAGAGCTGCAATGCCCTTCCTTTCCTGGGTCTGCCACATTGTCTCAGTCCCCAGAGAGGGGAGCTGGAGACCATCAAGGTCCTGCATTCTGATGTTGCCCGACCCGTTCAAGCCAGGGAGCCCCCCACCCACAGGGGTGTTTGGGTGCTGCCGACAGCCCTGGCCCAGAACTCAGGAGAGTGCTGGAGGAGACCTCCAGACTGGCCTTGAACTTGTGTATAGGAAGCCCCTCCTGATGTCCTGATCATGTTTACTATCAGACAGAGATCATTATGGGGACAGGAAGAGGCTGCAGAGGGAGGTGACTGGAACAGAGCCACTGAAACCTTTGTCAGAATGGCTGCTCTGAGCCGGGTCTGGGCCTTGGGCCGCCTGCTCCCTCGTTGGAGGGCCTGAGGGCGGGAGGAGAGAGCCCCGAGGCAGTGGAGGTCGCTGTGGTCCTGGCTGTCCTGTGCGATTCTGGTGAGTTAGGTGCCAGGGCTCCAGAGGGAGGTCCCCTCTTTCTTGGGCCATGTCCAGGTCCCTGCAGCCCCAGCGTCATTAATGCCTCAGCCGAACACCCGTGCACTTCTGCCGCTTGATGGCAGCGAGTCTCAGAGTGCGGGGTATCCGCCTGGTCAAAACTATTTTCATAATAATGCCAAGACATGATTTGCCCTTTGCTTTCCCACTCTTTCACCGAGTTCAGGGCAGTTCTCCAGAGCCGACGTGACACATGATGTCACAGCAGACCAAAGCAGAAGCGGATGTGAGAACCCAGTGGACTTCTGTTCAGCCATTAAGGAAATTTAGACAAAACTTAGTACCATTCTTCTCACTAAATATTTTTTACATGGGAAAATATAGTTACTTTTCTGCAAGAACACATTATTTATGTTTGTCTATAATGGGTTTATTTTGTTCTTTTAAAATTAATTAATTCATATGATATTTTTCTCAGCTTTTGTTTCTAATGCCATTATATGAGTATCATAGAAATGATACTCATTTCTAATATCAACACATAAAATCCATGTCAGCAGAAACTCTTTGGGGTCCTCAATAATTTTTCAGAGTGCCCAGGGGTCCCGAGGGCATACGGTTTGAGAACTGCTGGTCCAGAAGGCTTAGCTCGGGTCCCCCCGGGCCCAAGGCATGTCACCTCTGACCGCCCTACAAACGGCCCCCCTGGCTCCCGGGTGCTCTCCCGAGGTCCCGCGCAAGCCCCGGTCTGGGGCACCTGCTCTGGGGGCGCTGCTCAGACGAAAGCTACAAGGCAAAGCAGACACAGACTCAGGCCCACCCTGAGCCCGCACCTCTGCCCACAGCCAGCCCGGAAGGCCAGGAGGTGCCACACCGACCATGTGTGGGCGCTTCAGAACAAGCGTGGGCAGGCCTCTGCGCACTCCCCTTGGGCACCGTCCTTCCTCCACTTCTCCTTGTCCCAGAGAAACCCGTTCCGAAGGTCAGCAGGCACGGGAAGCAGTGACAGCCTGGGGCTTCTTCACAGCGGAAGCGGCACCCCCCTGGGGTTGCCCGGGCATCTGTGCCACCTCCCCAGCCCCCAGGGATCTCACCTGTCCCAGTGAAGTAACAGGTCTTGTGCATCTTGCCCTTGAAGAGCTCCAGCCCGATGATGGCGTAGATGATGACCATGAAGAGGACGAGCAGGGCGATGTGGAACAGGGGGAGCATGGCCTTGAAGATGGAGTTGAGGACCACCTGCAGGCCTGCAGTGGGGGGGGGCAGGGGGGCAGGAGGCGTCATCTCCCCCCACCCCCGGTCTCTGGCCCACCCACCCCCACCACAGACCCTGGGAAGCCTTGGGGGCAGAGGGGTCGGAGGGGGACCCAGAAGCGGGCAAGGGAACAGTGTGGGAGGGGAAAAGGGGCCTGCAGGGGCACCGCCTGCCACCCACTGGGCACCCCCGACACCAGGCGGAGGGGTCTGAGCACGCGGAAGGCCCTCAGGGCCTTGACGTCCAGGCCGGCTCCCTTGCTGCTCATGGGGGCTGTGTTGCTCTGGATGACGTTCACCTGCTCCAGGATCACGGTGAAGACCCTGAAGCGGGGGCAGAAGACGGCTCGGCTGTCGGACGGGCCGCCGTGCTGGTGGGCTGGGCCTGGGGCTGGCGGCAAGGCCTGGCGAGGGGTGGCAGGTTCGGCCCGCCACCTGCCAACCGAGCTGGCAATGCCCGCCTTGAGAATATCATCAGGAAAGACTCTGAGGCCATGTGCAGACTCCGTGAGAAGGTGCTGGATACATGCATGGTGTCTGCTCTGGGCGCTGAGGGGAGGGCTGAGGGACGTGGGCCACGGGCTTACCGTCCCCAGCCCGAGGCCTGAGTGTGCCCCACGGGGGGCCGAAGCAACTGGCAGCCCCTCATCCTGCGGGATGCCCAGAGGTGAAGGCCAAGCGAGGGCCCCTGCGGGTTTTCCGCACGCTGCTCTCTGACAGCGCCCTTCTTTTTTTTGTCTGTGTAAAAACGCTTATTTGTACTACTGTTTTAGGACAGCGCCCTTCTATTTTCTTTCCTGCTCACCTCCTCCTCCTCTCTCAACTTACTCCCATTTCCATTATCCTCCCATTTCCATAATCAACATCATATTTATTGCCTAGGTTTGAATAATCCTACTGCCACTAGCCTGCTGTGTGACCTTGGGTGAGTTTCTTGACTTCTCCGAGCCTTAGCTTTCCTAAGTGGAGATAATAAGAGGAGAATTAGATGAAATGTTACACGTAAAGCACACAGTAAGTGCCTGATAAGTGCTGCTGTTACATTAGGTGATGGTTATTAGAAGCCATGTTACAGGCTGAGCTGTGGGCACCTCCAAATTCATATGTTGAAGCCCTAGTCCTTAGGACCTCAGAATAGATTGTCTTTGAAAGTAGGGCCTTTAAAGAGGTAATTAAGTTAACGGAGGCTGTCAGGGTTGGTCCTAATCCACTGTGACAGGCGTCCTTAGAAGAAGAGGAAATTCAGAGACGCACAGAGACAAGACCTTGTGTGGAAACATGGTGGGGGCCCCTGGGAGAGGCCAGACCTGGTAACACCTCAACCTCAGACTTCCAGACTCCAGCCCATGAGAAAATTAATTTCTGTTGTTTATGCCACCATCTGCAATATCGCGTTACGGCAGCTGGAGTGCATTCATAAGGTCTCTAAATGTCCATTGAACCCAAATAATAGGTACTCCGTGTAGGTCCATGAATGAATGATTAAGATTAAGACATCTGTGAACATCCAGAAACTGCTGCACACTGGAACCACACACATCATCTCTAATTTTGTGTAATGTGAGAAAAATAAGGACCTCATAGGGCCTTGCTGGAGAGGAAGCGGCTGACCTGCCAGAGAAGAATCATTTTCCGCCAACACTGGCCGCATCCCCATGGAGGCGGGCCCCTAACGGGCTGCTCCGTGGCTGGGCTCAGCACAGGGCGGGGGCCCCTCCTGCCTCTGGAATGCTGGTGGACGTAATGCAGGGCACAGGGTCCTCAGAGAGCCCCTCTGACCCCAAACCCGCCGAACCTGGGCCTCACCCCAGAAAGACGATGGTGAAGTCCAGCACGTTCCAGCCGCTGCGCAGGTAGGCGTCCTGGTGGAACAGGAAGCCGTAGGCGATGATCTTCATGGCGGCTTCGATCGAGAAGATGATGAGGAAGAAATACTCCAGTTTCTCCTGCGGGGACAGGGGCATCCCACACTGCTCTGCGCCTCCCCACTGTGCCCTTCCCCGGCCTTTGCTCTCCCTCCACCCACCCCCATTTTCCCAGTGTGCCTGCCTCAGGACATTTGCACTCGCTATTCCCTCTGCCTGCCATTCCCCCGCCGCCCTCTCACCTCCTGCAGGTCTGCACCCAAAAGTCAGCCCCTCCGCGGCCCTCCCTGGCCACCCAAGGACAATCTGAGCCACGCTGATCATGCCATGTTCCTCTTCCCTGCTTCATTTTGTCTTCTTAGCACTTATCCTTGGCTAAAAATGCCATATATTTTTTATCTTGTTCATTTATTATCTTAACCACTAGGACAGAGACTTGAAGTATGGGGCTTTTTGCTCATTCTTTTTCATTACTCTGCTTCCAGGGCCCAGGACTGGAGGAATGAGTGAATGGTCCAGGCGGCCCCCAGACTGAAGGCCCCGGGGGGTTCCTGGTCTGTCACCTTTCCTCCCCCAGCATCCTCAGGACTGACGGGAGGAGGTGGCAGGAGGCATTTCTCAAAACTCAAGCTGGCCCTCCTTGGCTGGTCAGGCCTTTAATAAATTGTTCTGTAACCTCCCTGCCCACCCCAGCTGCCCACAGGAAGCCCCTTAAAGGGCCCCAGCCCCATTAACCAAGACCAGGGGAATCCGGGTACTCTGTGCAGAGAGGAGGCCCTACAGGCAAGGGTCGAGGTGTCAGCTCAGGTGCCCCTGCAGAAGGCCTTGCTGGCTCCACCCACTCCTTCCCCGGTGGCCCATCTCTGGCCAGTCACCCCGCCCCTCCTCTGCACCCAGACAGAGCTATTTCTAACTGAGAGAGCAGGTCCCTTCTGTCAGGACTCCAGGCTGAAACGGCTCTCCTTGCAGCCATCTGAACCCTGGCTTGGCGGCTTCCTAGAGCCCCCCACCACCCCAGCCAGGCCTCCCCAGACAAGCCCTGTCTCCTGAGGGGCTGCCTGCTGCATGGACGGCCCCAGCATGCACAACTACAGGAGGCAGGTGTGTCGAACTTGGCTGGCACTGGAGTGGCCAACGAGGGGGTCTGAGCCCCACAATCCAAGCCCACCATTAGCCACAAACGTCGCCCCCCAGGAAAAAGCACTCCCCCGGCGGCCCCCAGCAGCACAGGATGTAGGCGTGATCACCCTGTGAGTGCAGAGCTCCTTCATTCTGGGCGGAGCCAGGTCAGGGACTGGCTGCCCCATTAACGATTTGGAAGATAATTAATTTTGCTTCCAAGGAAGTAGGTGTGGTCCTAGAAAACTCCCCACTTGTCCTGCAGAGAATTTTCCTGAGAGCATCATGTCCCCTTCTACATAGCGGGGTAACTGAGGCATACAGGGATGAAACCTGCTTTCCTTAACTTTGCCACGCCTAATTCCTTCTACTAATTTGTAATCCCAAAGCTTTCTCCTTCTTCCAGAAAACGATAATGTATGATTAAAATGCCAAGCCGTGGCATTCTCAGAAAGGGCCTATTGAGAAGGCTTCATGTAACGCCAGGTGGGAGTCGCGCGGCAGCCTGCTCTCCCTGCCCAGCGGTGAAGCCGGACAGCCCCGGGGCGTGGTTCCGTCTCGCCGCAGGGCAGGGTCCCCGGGAGTCACACACAACAGTAAGGGGCAGGCGTGGGGAGGAGAGTGAACTCAAGTCAGCCCCTACATTTTTAAGTTGCTGCAACCCCAGGGACCAGACTGGAGAAGTGGGGTTGAGGGGAAGGAAAACAGGGCCCAGAATAGTTGCAGCGCTCACAGACCGGGCTGCCCGCCATGTGTGCGTGTGCGGGAGGGCTGCCCACACCTGCCACGCCTGCCTTGCCCCCGCCTGGCCCCGCGTGCACTTGTCCAGGGCTGTGGGCCTGGGAGGGGCTCACTCGGGTTCCACAGCCTGTTAACTCCAAGGCCCGTCTGCACCACTGCCCGCCTGCCCCAGGTTCTATGGGTTCCCACTGTGTTCTCCTGGTTTTGACAGAGCGGTTGTCTGAGGTCACATCTGCGGTGGCCCACCAGGGCTGGCCTGTCCTACCCTGAACTCCACATGTTCAAACCAGACTCCTGAGCCCGCCCTTCCTCATGGGTTCCTGTCTCTGCCAGTGGTACCCGGTTGCCCAAACTGGAGACCCAGGTCTTCCTGAACTGCCCCCTACCCTGCCATCCCACTGACTCCTGGCACTGGAGTGGTCAATGAGGGGGTTTGAGCCCCACAACCCAAGCCCACTGTTAGCCACAAACGTGGCCCCCAGGACGTAAGGGGGCCTGCTCCACGTGTCCTCCAGAGCCCCGGCCTGGCCTGCTCTCCCTATTTGCAGTCTGCTGCTCTCTCCGACACCCGGCCCTTCTCTTCATAGATCTGACCCCTTCCTCTCCTGTAATTCTCCGCTGGCCCCATACTGCTTACCAGGTAAAATCGCCATGCAGGCCTTCTGTGATCACCCCCTTCTGCCGCCCTGGCCGTCCCGCCAGTCCCGCGAATGATTTCCAGGTCCCAACTCTCCGCCGCCCCGGCCTCCGTGTCTTGGCACACAGGGTCCCTCTGCCTGGAGTGCCCAAGGCCTGTCCGCAAGCGGACCTGTCTTCCCTGAGGGCCCTCCTCACCCCGCACAGAGTGAACACTCGCCGTCGCAGAACACCGTGCTGCTGGCCGCTGCCTCCCCCAGCTGCAGCCTTCTTGACACTGCATTATTCCCAGCTGTGAGGATCCTCCGTTCTCTACCATGTGACCTTTCCCGTCAGTAATGGTATCTGGGCATCGGGGAGAGGGTCACCCCCCGCAGAAGGCTCCCCAGAGTCTCTGTTGATGGTGTGTGAGGGGAGGTTTGGTGGCTGGACACCCCCCACCCCTACCCCAGCCAGTGATTCTGATTCCCTGCACCCAGAGGTGTATGCTCGCTCCACGCCCAGCTGAAAACATTCTGCCTCAGGGCTTTGCCCTTCCTGTTCTCCCCACCTGGAATGTTCTCCCCAGATATCCACGGGGCTCACCGTCTTTTTTTGGATCCCAGTTTCAATGGTACCTTCGCACCCAGGCCCTCCTGACCTCCCTTCTCCTCTCGCCCTGTCTAACTTGGCCTGCTTTCTTCTTTTTAGCAGCGACTAGCTCCTGGCACGCTGTGTCTGTCTTTCAACCCTCTCTCCCGACCTGAATGTGGCCATCCTCCCTTATCCACAGGGGATACATTCCCAGACCCCCAGGGGATGCCTGAAACCCTAGGCAGTACCAAATCCTATGTGTAACATGTCTTTCCCTACACGCAATCTGATAGTTTAATTTATAAATTAGGCTCAAGAGATCAATAACAATAACTAATAATAAAACGGAACAGTTATAACAATGCACTGTCGTAAGAGCTACGTGATGTGGTCCCTCTCTCAGGACCTCTTCCTGTGCTGCGCACCATCCCTGTGACGCTGTGAGATGATGAGGCGCCTCTGTGCCGGGATGGAGAGCAGGCAGTGGCGCCGGTGCTGCTACACCGTGTCAGGCTGCTGCCGACCTTCTGATCTTACTCAGGAGGATCACCTGCTCCTGGTGGACCACGAAACGGTGGGCCAGGTGGGAGCGGGGGACACCGAATTAGGTCTATGAGAGAAGAGGTCACTGCTGTCACTGCTCCCAGAACAGTGCCTGCCACATCCGTGTTTGTGAAGGAAGAAATGAATCAGGTCCTTAGCGCATGGCTACTCAAGGTGCTACTCAAGGTGCAGATGGGGGGGCAGAAGCGGTGCTGGTCCTCGTGCTGATGCTGTCACGTTGAGGCAAGATAAGCATAGGCATTGAGGAGAAGCACCTGGAAATCATTACAGCAATCTGCCACAACGCCGGGCACATGGGTGGGTTACAGACCAGTTTGGGCACGTGGAAGTCACACCGTAAGGCCCACAGGCAGGAGCTGTGAAGTGGTAGGAGCCCCTCGCAGTCCAGGTGCACCGGAAATAAAAAAGGGGGTCTTTCCCCCGCAGTCGGGCACAGCGTGCTTCCTGGCACGGGGTAAGCGCTCAAGAAACGTTTGGCGAATGAAAAACCCAATGGAAAATTGTCATCCCTGCTGCAGAAATCAAAGGGAGGCTGTGACGTTGTGGTTTACAATAAGAATTATGTATTTGGTCTTCATCCCTTTTCCTGACACAGAAGTCCTAAAGCCCTTGGGGTCTCTAACTGGTGAGAGCTACAAAGGCATCTTTTGCTGTGTTAATGGTGACTTTCGGAATACCCAAAGCCCACCTGAGAGTGGGGGCTGGTCACCACATGAACCAGCCTGTGACTAGAGGGCCGGGCCTTTCTGGGCCTCCAGGAGGTGAGACGGGGCTGGGGACTGAGCTCGATCCGGTGGCCAATGGCTGAAGCAGCTACGCACAGGAAATGAAGCCTCCTTAAACCCAAAAGGGCTGGCTTTTGAGTGCTTCCTGATTGGTAACGATGGAGATTCAGGGAGAGCAGAGCCTTCAGAGATGGCCTGGGGGCTCCGTGCCCTTCCCCCTCGTACCCCGAGGGCGAAGTATGCGCAGCTTCCATCTGGCTGTTCCTGAATTATACCCTGTTATAGTAAATCAGTGATCTTTCTGAGTTCTAGGAGTCGCTCAAGCAAGTGAGTGGAACCCAAGGAGGCACTCGTGGGAACCCCTGATCCACAGCCAGCCATCAGGTTCCAAGGGGGCGCAGCATCGGTCAGGGGCAGTCTTGGGACCTCTATTCCTAAGAAGAGACTCTGGACCCCAGGTCTGACTCCCTGACCATCCTGACCTCAGGGGAGACCATGAGCCAGTCTGGCTTTGTGAGATGAGAGCGCTGCCACCAGCTCCCTACGGGGGCCTTCATTGCCAGGTGTCCCCTCCCAGGGTGCTCCTGCCCCTGCACGGTCATGCCTCCAGCTGCAGCTCCCTGGGGCCATGCTTGAGGGGGCGAGGCCTGGCGTGTGACCCTGGCCCCAGGCCTTGCACCTGCTCCTGGGAGTGTCGGAGCAGGACTCTGGGATGAAAGAAGC